TATGTTTTTAAATATATTTAAATTATATTTTTAAATAAATTTAAGTAAACTTGTTATTAAATATTTTTATTTTAATTTAATCCTTTAAATTTTTAATTTATTTTAACTTTATTTTTTTAAAATTCGTCTAATTCTATTTTATCTTTTAAAATTTATTAATGTAGATATACATTAACGACAACAATGATAAAAAATAAAAATTGTAGACATAAATATTCAGTTGATAAGTTGACAACATAATAAAACTAAAAATAAGTATTTGGGTAAAAAATAATTAAAAATTAGTGACAGTTTAATGGTAAAATATGAAATAAAATAATTATCCACAGTTATACTATTTTAAAAGTTTTACTAAAATTAAAATATTTAATCAAGTTAAAAGATTATTTTATTTCAAAAATTAAACTCATTAAAAACATATAATTAAAATAAATAGAAATATTTTTTATTTTAAAAATATTTATTAATAAGAAACGTATTTAAAACTACAACTCTTCTCCCGAAAAACAAAAACAAATAATTTGTCGAATGATTGAGCTGAGGAGAAAACGCGGATTCTGACGCTTTACATGTATTGTTTTTTGAGTTAGTGAACTTTTCAGGGTTTCGGAGTTGGTTCTTGACGGTAGAATTATAGATTGAAAATACCTTCTTTTAATATTTTATTTTATTTTTTAAATCATAAAATATAAAATATATTATGTAATATACTTTTTAATTGTATTTTTTAGAATAAATTAATAAGTTAATTTATTCAATTTTAATTATTTAACTTTTTTTTAGTTTTATGTGAAGTATTTTGAAAGTTATATGATTAAAATAAAATTAGAGAATTAAACAAATCAAATCAAAATTCAAAGCATAAATTTATTAATTTAATCTATTTTATTATTAATTATTTAAAAAAATTTAAATAAATTTTATTGCTAATATAATAATTTCTATTCGTGTGCTTTATATTTTTAATTGATAAATAAAAAGTATTCTATTTTTTATTACTATATCATCAATAGTTAATAAGTAATGTAAACGTTAGAGTAAATATATAATTTATTTACGAAACTAATAAGCTGTATTTAATTAATTTTGAAAGGTTTGCATATATATAACTTAATTTTAATAAAAGGGGAATCGATTTCTTTAAGTTTTATTCTCTTTATTAATTGACTCTTGAATTCTAGTTTTATTTTAATTGAATCTTCAATTTCATTTCTTTTACAATTAGATACTCTTGATTTTAATTTTGATTTAATTTCACTCTTATATTTTATTAGTTTAATAAATATACACTCTAAACTTTAATTTGTTCCAACTAACCCTTAAACATACATTTTTTTTTTCAAATTACTCCTATAGATAAAATTATAGTTAAATTACTTATAAAAATTATTAACTATATTGTTATCTTAAATCTTAGCTGTTCAATTTTTTTTTTATCATACTTCATTCTTGTAAACATCAAAATTAATAAGACTTTACGTTTAAGAAAAAACAACAAAAACCAACATAAAATAAAAAATACATTGAAGAAGAATACTTAGTTAAATAATACATGCTTATGATTTTTTTAATGCTACGATGCTTATAAAAAATGAATTATAGCAATAAAAAAAATGAATGTTTAAATTAATTTCAAGGTAATATAATGGTTAATTAGAATTGACTATTTACAAAAGGTATAAAATTTAATGATTAATTAGAACAAAATTAAAGTTTTAAATATCTAATTAAAAATAGATTAATTAGGAAATTTTAAATTTGAAACGCCTATTAGAAAGGGTATTAAGATAATTGAATACTCTTTTTGGTTTTAATTTTTAAACTTGTTATTTTCATAACTACTTAGTCCTTCTAATATAAAGTTGACTTAATTTAAAAATTAAGTTTATCATAAAGTTAACATATATAAAACCTAAATTTCTATAAAATTTATAGATTTTGAGAGAAAATCGATAGAAAACGTTCCAAGTAGTCATGAAGCTGATAAATCTAACTTTAACTAAATTATTAATTTTGTAATAGTTTTCAAAATTCATCAACTGCTTGATGAAATTATTATTTGATCTTGAAGTTGACAATTTTAGAAACTAAATCTTATGCACATAAAAATTTTAAACTCATGCAACACTATACTTGTGAGATGCATGGATTTATTCTTATTTAACACGATAAGGAATAATATAGATATAATTTAAAACAATTGACTTTTACTTGAAATAATTTTTAAGTTGCAAAGTTTATAGTTTTTTTCTTGTAGATAAAAGAAAACTTAAAAAAGCAAACACTGATAGTAGGTTTTAGTAGAATTCAGGTGTATCAAAAGTGTTGATGCTTGAGATGGAACAACAAAGTCCTAATTTTCTGTAAGATTTTGTTGTGCCATTGAATCTGCACAAGAGATCGCATTTCTAAAACTATGATTCAGAGAAACATCTCAATCTCTGATAGAAGAACAAAAATCTCATTTACTATAAGCCTAGTGATTAACTAGTCTCTTAGAATTCTTATTCAAAATATACCAAGCCTCTAAACTAAATAGCCTGTTTCACAGGTGATCTTCCAATAACTTAATTTACAAATCATCAAAAGACTTTTACGAATTGCCAAAAACTTTGCCTGGTATATGTTTATAATTTTAAATTTACCCTAAAAGGTCGCAATCTAATAACCTCTATTATTTCTCATAACACCACCAAGTGAATATATAACTTTCAAAATATACAAGTTTATGATCACTAAACTAAAAACATGGAAATTTATGATCACTAAATTGTTACAGCTATCTCACAAAATAATATTTGAGGTATAATTATGAATCAATTTTTAAGATTGAGTTGGAGAAAAAAATTAGTATTTTTAAAAATATTTTATTATTTTATAATTTAATATAATAATTTTTTCAACAAAAATTATTATTTCTAGATATTTAAACTTAATTTTAACAACTGAGATTAATAGATTTATAATTGTATTTCATGTTGGATCTACTCATTTTTCAATGAAATCACATTTTCCAATTACAGAAAAATGCTTTATCCACATGCAAGATCTTTGTCCAAAAAGAAAAAGAAAACAAGAACACTAGTGTTGGATAAAGGTAAAGAAGACATTCGCTACAAACCACAAAGATCAAAAAACCGTCCGAATGAAAAATAAATAAATCTTATTTCCAATAGATTCAGCGCATTGAATGTAGTTCCTTGTATAGTGATAAAGATACAAATTTCTATGCAGGTATGGATATGACAGGTGTTGAGGAAAATGATCCTGCAAATCACTAGCACCCATACGAGCATACACAGATAGCCAACACATTTTTCTACTTTCAATAATTAATTTTACAAATTAACATATTCTCATATAGAAAGAGCAGAGATGTACAAAAAAGAGATTCGTTTAATAGTTTTGCAATAGACAGTGGATGCAAAACATGGACAATGACTCGAGCATTTTGTCATACGGGTAATGAGCAAGAACTGAAACGAAGAAAAACAATGCACTAAATAACCAGCGTATTAGCATATACTAAAGTCAAATCAGCATTTTAGAGTAGCAAAGAAGATCACTATTGTTTCAGCACGATTTTAAACTAAAAAAAAATTTAACTTCATTTTATTTTCTTTAAAAATTTAATATAAAAACATCTTATTCTTCTAACTCTATTATTCTTTGAGTTATATATTAAAAGATGTATATTCTCTCACTCTTTCTTGTCGTATTTTTGTGTTTTAATAGGCTAAACACGTTTAAGAGACACGGTTAATAAGTGTTAATTCAGCACAGAGGTTAATGGGAATTTTAGAAAACAATAACATCGCTAAAATTATCATGATTAATAATTCATAACCTTATAAAATATGTTTTCCAAACCTAAAGATTGAGAGATAAATATAATGAATCAACTATGTAAATGCTCATTACAGGTTGACTTTATAACCTATTTAAAACACAACATATTTTTTAATACACAAATTACCACCTTTAACCATTGCAGGGGTAGTTGTTGGAATGTCACAATCAATACAAGAGCAAGCTATAAACTACTAACTTTGTCCTTTAAAATAAATTTTATAACTCATATTTAGAATCTTCTTTGCTGAAATGTAGGAGTAGTCTAAAAATTTGAAAAAAAATCTCTATTAATAAGTTATGAATAAATTATATAAAAGGCTCGACATTATTTTATTTATTTTTATTTATTATAAAACTTTATTACTCATTGTTACTTATTAAGTCAAGTAAAAAAATAAAATAAAAATTCACATTGTCTAATATTATAAAAGGTGACTAGTAAATATGAAGTAGAGTTCCACTATCTATTACTTTAATGTTTTAAGGGAATGTAGTGACCTAACCCAATTGTGGTGGCTTATTCCATGAAGTATGGTGAATGCTCTTCCTTGATATATGAATATAAATCCCTTTTCGATACTCTGATACAACAGGAGGATCATAGTCAAAGTCGATCTGAGTGACAGAATTTGGGGCGATTGTTGAGTCAAATGTTATTTTTTTTCATATAAAAAAACTCCTCCAATCTTGTGTCACACTTTCTTAATCTAAATATTTAAATGAATCCATAATTAATTTTGGTGTTAATGTAAAATTTTTAATTGAAAGATTTGCTTTTGAATTTACTACTTCAACCATTAATTTATTAAAATTTGTGAAAAATATTAAATTAAAAAATACGGTATAACTACCACTTTTTAAATAAAGTTACCTGAGAGCTAAAGAAACATAATAAAAAATAGATTAACTCACTCAGACAGTAAAAATTAGAAAATAAAAAATAAACAGAATATTAAAACATCACACTTAAGAGAATTAAATTAAAATCAAACTAGTTTTAATTTAAAAATTTTAAAACTTAAAAATTGAAAATGAGTAATAAATTAAAAAAATTATGTGTGTTAAATTAATATTTTTAAATTTTTTAATAAAATTTAGGCACAATGAAGAGTGTGATGAGAGAGTGAATTCCTGTCATTCTGCCGAAAATTATCCAAATAAATCCGAATTTGGCAGGACCGAAAGTATATTCTACGCTCGAATGATCGATGATTGACGCTTACATTCGATTGCAAATCAATCACCGTAGCAACAGCTGTACTGTGCCGTACCAGGGATCGGCATGGGGTCATCACTGTGGCCCCCTAAAGTGACGATGGAGCTTCATCTCCGAAACCGAGAGAAGCTTCTCACATCGCTTCGCCAACACCTTTCTCTCTCTTCTCGTCCGCTTCATGGCTTCGTCCTCCTGCAGGTCTGCACCTCAATCTTCCCTGCTTCTTACATTCATCTCTGTACCTTCATCTTCCATTTTTCTTAAATTTTCCACATTCAATTTTTTTCTTTTTCCGTCAGGGTGGCGAAGAGCAAATTCGTCACGACACTGACCACATCGAACTCTTCAGGTACCCTATCCTTACCTAATCCCTCTATCCTCGTCATCGTTACAGTAATTGCAATTCGATGCGTAATTGATTCGAATTTGGATTTTGCAGGCAGGAGAGTTACTTTGCTTACTTGTTTGGAGTTAACGAGCCTGGATTTTATGGAGCTATTGTTCGTTCTTATGGTTTCTTTTTTTTTTTTTACTTTTTGTGATTCTCACAGATTGAGTTTTGGAAGTTAGTGGTTTTGATTTATGCGTGTTATTGGTTTTGGAAGGACCTTGGAACTGGGGATTCTATCCTATTTGCTCCTAGGTTACCTGCTGAGTATGCTGTGTGGTTGGGGGAGATAAAGTCTCTCTTCTATTATAAGGTGATTTTTCCCAAATAACAAAATTTTGATGGATTCGCATGTCGAGTGTGCAGGGTTTAGTGTTTCATGTCTATGCAACTTCCTTTGCAGGAACACTATATGGTTAGCACCGCATGCTTTATAGATGAAATTGCAAGTGTTTTGCAACAACGTTACTTGGGTTTGGGCAAACCTTTACTGTTTCTCCTGCATGGCCTTAATACAGATAGCAATAATTTCTCTAGACCAGCAGAGTTTCAGGTCCATTTAACTCTAATAATTCATTTTCTTCCCTTGTTAGAAGCATTCTTTATTGTTGTTTTGAGCAGGACAATGAGTGTTTCATTGGATATGTATTAATTCTGACCCCAAACTGCCATTGGATCGGACGCATCTCTTTAGTACAAGTACTACTGTGTTGTTTGTGATGGCATGGTGGGACTTACCAATGTCTTTCTTAGGGATCTAGATTCGCGGAATTAGTATTTTATGTTAGTATATTAAAATATGTAAAAATATTTAATTATATCATATATCTCATATTATCCTCTAGTATTGATTTTTGTGTTTCCTCGTCTTTTAAGATTAGCTATTGAATATCCTTTTCATAACTTGTTTCCTTACCTGGTTAGAATTATAATTAGTATAAGGATGCATTTAGATATATGATTTAATTAGATACTTATTTAATAAGTTATTTTTATATGATGATTTATGCTATAAATTTAACTATTAAAGTATTGAAATAAGTCTGAGAACAACTTATTTTGATAAATTATACCAAAGTAATTAATAAAAAAAAGATAAAAAAAGTGTATGAAAATTATAATTTATTTTTTGCAAGTTATTTATAAGCTCTTCTAAATAGATCTAAATAGAAGTTAGTGTTCCAAATGTAATAAAAGTATTGCATGTATCTCTCATTGCAATACATTAAAATATCAATCGATGTCTCTTTTCTCCCTATTCCTTCTCTCTATACCTAAATTTCCTTTATTCAAACATGGAATTAGAGTCACATCCTTTGTGACAAGTCTTATCTTTTGGTTTTTGTCGCTATTGTTGCTTCACTGCCAAGACAATTTTCTTCCATAATCCATGTGAAGCACTAGTTTTTCACTGCTTTCCATTCTCCTTTTGGCAATTAAAATAGCATCTTCATCCACTGTATGATAGTTTTTCACTTTGTTCATCAATGTTTCCCTTTCGTCCAACAATGCATTTTCCATAGTGCTTGTAATCAATTCTGATTCATCCCCATTGCCTCTTATTAGTTTCGTTTTATCAATTTTTTTTATATATATGGTTAGCTTCACTTGATTCTATGGCTTCTAGTCAGTTTCGCTTGATCCTTGTTTCTTATGGTCAGTTTTTTTTTATTCTTGTTGCCTGTGATTAATTTACCTAACCCCCATTGCGTCTAGTCAGTTTCACTTGGTCCTTGTTGTTTTCAATTTGTTTTGTCTTATCCTCTTTTCTTCTAGTTAGTTTTGCCTGATCCTTGTTGTCTCTTGCCTATTAACTTTGTGGTTCTAGCCATTGTAAATGGTTTTGTCCTAGATGTAGTTAGGTCCTTTCATAAAATGGTTTGGTCCAATATGCAAATTGGTTCTTCTTCATCTATTGTGCACTCTTGTAGTGATGCTTTTAGTATATTTGATCATAACAAGCTAAAAGCTTTAGCTTAAAGAGGAGCGTTAAAATATATGAAAATATCTAAAAATAATCATATCTCAGATATCTTCAATTTTAGTCTCCTTATTTTCTCATTATCTCTTAAGGTTCTCACTTTTAGTCTTGTTGACATGTTTTGCCACTACTCTATTGCCACGTCTTATCTTTTGATTTTTGTTGCTGCTGCTACTATTTTGCTAATAAGGTTGCTTTCCAAAAACCTTCTTTCAGTTAGAAGTCGTTTGAAACACCACTTCTCTACTTCCTCCATTATGTGCTCCTTTTGGCAATGAAAAAGCATCTCCACCCACCTTATGGCAGTATTTTCCTACTATTCATGGAAGTTTGACTTTTGTCCAAAAATATGTTTTCCCTCAATTCCTTGTTGCCTCCAATCACATTTTGCTTTATTCTTATTTCCTTTGGTTTGTTTCAATTGATCTCAATTGCTCCTAATTAATTAGTTCTGCTTGATTCTTGTTGTTTCTAATAAGTTTTGCCGTATCCTTGTTGCCTCCAGTTGGTTCTTCCTGATCCCTGATGCCTTTGGTCCAGTTTAGTTGATCCTTGCCTTGGATTAGTTCCAATTGATCTACATTGTTTTCGGTTGGTTTTGCAAGATCCTTATTGTTTCTATATAATTCTGCCTAATCCTCATTGCCTCTATTTAATTAGTTCTTCTTGATCACTGATGCCTCTGGTCTATTCCAGTCAATTCTTGTTGCCTCTAACTTGAGTGTTAGTCCAGCTAAAGCTTTAGTTGAAAGGGAGTGTTAAAATAAACAAAAATATTTTATCATAACATATCATATCTCAAATATCCTCTAGTATTAATTTTCCTATTTTCTCATTATCTCTTAAGATTAGCTATCATATTTCTTTATCTTGTCCTGATTTGTTTTCTTAATTGGTTAGGATAATTATTATTATTATTATAAACAAGGATTAGTGCTCTAGGTTTAATGAACACATGATATATATCACATTGTAGTACATCACAATAATATTCAGTTTCTTTTGTCTCTATTCCTTCTCCATACTTAAAACTCCTTAATTCCAACAATGTAGATTTATAAATTTTATTTATTTAGGGCATCGATAAGTTTGATAAGGATTTGACAACTTTGCATCCTATATTGACTGAATGCCGTGTCATCAAGTCAGACCTGGAGATTGCTCTTATTCAGTATGCCAATGATATAAGCTCTGAAGCTCATGTTGAGGTAACTAATATTTAACATGACAAAGGTTTACTTGTTTCTTGAGTACTTATTTTAAAATTTATGTGAAATACTCTATGAGGCGTATCCGGAATGTGTTGGAGGAAACAAGACTTATATATTGCAAGTTTTATAGTTTAATTTTTAGTATTTTCCCAATTTGAGGCAGTTCATTGTAGTTGTAAAACGAAAGGTGATTGTGGGAACTGGGAGGCATCTTTTAGCTTTCCTGTAAAAACTATTTAATAGGTAGCAAGACTATGGAAAGGAAAATAGCTTCAAGTATTGAACCGAATTGACAGAAAAGAATTCTAATGCTGAAAAATATTTATTTTTTTGTTTACTAAAAATAGTACTACTTTCCTTTACCCGGTTACCTACCCATTTTTTCACAGAAAATTTTGGTATTGTTTATTTGAGTTAGGAACAAATGAGGTACGCAGGTACATATTATCTATCAGTAGAACTATCTGTAATCGCAATGATGAAGTATGAATGGTTTTATGCATATGTTTTATGAAAATACTTACGTAATAGTTGCAATACACATTACAATAAAACAGGTTATGCGAAAAACTAAGGTGGGCATGAAGGAGTATCAGCTTGAAAGCACTTTTCTTCACCACACCTATATGTATGGTGGATGTCGGCATTGCTCCTATACATGTATTTGCGCTACTGGTGAAAATAGGTATACATTTACTTTTGGTTTAATAAATCTTTACTCAATGCCCATTTGTAAGGATGACTTCTTGGCTCCATTTTCCCCAAGAGAACTTAAACTGATTTGCGAAAAAAGATTGTCTGACCTGACTTACTGCCCGTTCTGACTTGTCTTGCAGTAGCAAGTTTGACAATAATCAGCATTTTCAACATTAAAATCTGTTAGTAATTTTATACTACCGCCATAATTTTAAATAGTAGAGCTGGCTAACATGTGTGTATTAATGCAGTGCTGTTCTTCATTACGGGCATGCAGCTGCTCCTAATGACAAGGTATGGTATAGGAGTAGCTTTTCTTGCCTTTGTAGGTCATCATCATTGCAGCTAATGTCATATAGTTTATTGGCTATCATAATGTTGCAGGATTCAGTTCCTACATCTTTCTAGATTGGTGATATGGCTTTTCTAAGTTGTTTGCTGCATTCCACCCCTGGGAAATTGAATTGGGCATAACTGCTCTTTGTTACCTATATATCTATTTATTATTTTCTACATTGATATCAATCAATACCATGGGTAATCATAAGTATTACTGGTAGGAAAACATATTTTGTTTAGGAATACATTAAAAATTATTGAAAAAAAACAATGATGAGCAATTCTTGGAAAATAGGAAAGTGTAAATTATTGGTGCTATTTGGTGACTTCGGATATGGCCAATCAACATATTAAGAATAGAAAACTTGCTTCATTTCCTTTAGGAAGAGACAAAATAAGATGAAGTTATAGTCTGAATTAGATGATCAATCTTTATTTACTTTTAGAGGTGTTTTATGTTTTCTTAAAAACATGGCTCTTTTGTAGACTTTGGAAGATGGAGACATGGCACTGTTTGATATGGGAGCCGAGTACCATTTCTATGGGTCTGACATAACTTGTTCTTTCCCTGTGAGTCTTCCCATTAATAATTAGTTTTGAAATTTTTACTTGGTTTCCCTGTTGCATACACTGTCATTTTGAGCAATGTTGCTGAATCATAAGGCATGCCTCTGCTAAAATTGCGTCACACTTGGTTCCTTTTCCTGTTGATGTATTGATTTTTTATGTTGCCATAAGCATTTTTATCTTTATTCTAACCCAGATGGGTGCCAGGTACTAGTATTTAATTAGGTAGTGCTTAGTCCAGCTTTTTTGGGCTTCTCTTCTTAAAAAGAGATGGGCCAAACAGAATTTTACATAAGCTCTCGAAAATAAAAGTAGACTTGTCAATGGAGAAAAGGTCAAAATACAGAGCTTCTATAGAAGCTAATTGGAGGCCATTTTGCATTTAAGGAGAAAAGAAACCCAAAAAAGCTCGGTCAATCATGATCTTAGTAGTATCAGTATGAGTTATCATTTTATTATTTTATAATAATCATCTTATGCTCAACTCTTTAAATCTGTGGTGCAGGTAAATGGAAAGTTTACAATTGATCAATCTTTTATATATAGTGTAAGTGATTCTAATAAAACCTTTTCTTTTCAAAGGGAAAACAAATTTATGTGTTTTACTTAATGTGCAAACTGCACTGGTACAAACATTTGCAGTGCAAATCCCCAACAAACATAAGTCGTAATTATCTCTGGATGTTCATGTATGAGTTAGTGTAGCCCAGCTAATGTACCTTTAATATAGTTCAATGACTATATTTTTATAGCATTTCTTTAACTGTTGTTTATTCTCTCTTTCCATGTTCTGCAGGCTGTGCTTGATGCTCATAATGCAGTTATATCTGCAATGAAACCTGGAGTAAACTGGGTTGATATGCACATGTACGATTGAATGCCAGTATTGATTTTTTAATGCAAATAAAATGTCTATCATACTCGATTTCAACATTTAAGTGTTTATAGCTGTGAGCAAGTTTATTATATCAGTGCTTTACTACAGAGAAGCTTCTTGACTATTTAACTTTATTGGTAGATTGGAATACAACAGAGTTGTAGCCTACGTAGTTTGTGCCTATGCAGTCTCAAGTTTTTATTTTACTGTCTGAAGCTTGATTGAGAAGTTACAGTCATTGTCTTGAATGGAAGACCTAAGAGTAAATCAAGTTTGATAGCAATCATTAGACTACATTATGAAACCAAGACCATTGGTGTCTAATATTTATGAGTTTTTTTATAGGAACAAGTGTGTGTGTGTGTGTGTGTGTGTTTGTAATATAGTATGCTGTTGTTGACCACAATTAAGGTGAAAACAATATCAAGTTATGCAGGAATAATAAGAAATCTAAATAAGTTAACCAGATGTCCTTGAGCCAACTAATTTTCGTAAAAAAAATCTTTTATTCAAACTACTAATTTACACTTTTGTCAAGGTATTTGGCATTATTTCTGCTCATTTACTCTTTAAAGTTGCAGATTAGCAGAAAAAGTGATTCTGGAGTCACTAAAGAAGGGACACGTAATTTTGGGGTAACATTATCTGTTTTTTAATTTCCGCTGGCAAACTTTAGTCTTAGTACAATCTCTAGGATCCTTTATGGAGTTGCATATTTGTGAATTTTGCTGTAGTGATGTTGATGACATGATGGCTGATCGCTTGGGTGCTGTTTTTATGCCACATGGTTTGGGGCATTTCCTTGGTATTGACACACATGACCCTGGAGGCTACCTAAAGGTAGCTGTGTTAATTTCATCAGCAGTTACACGCCCCCTCCCCCCTCCCCCCTCCCCCCACCCCCCCAATTAATGGCTTCTAAATCTTACGTGGGCAACTCCTTTTCATATAATGTCTTAGGAATTCTGTTCTGGTTTGCAGGACCTTGAAAGAAGAAAGGAACCTGGATTAAAAGCTTTGCGGACAATCAGAGATCTCCGGGAAGGAATGGTTGGTTATGGCTTTCTTCAGTAATTAGGACTTTTTATCAGTAGCAACTGATATGAAGCGTAGCAGTAATTGATGTTTTTCTCTGGGTTAACCACATTAAAATTGGAACAATTATAATGCCTCTAAAACTCCCTGATTTATATTGTGTTGATTTTTTCAGGTATTGAACCATCTAGCTGTCTTTACATGTTGCTAAGATAAAGTCCTCATTTTAGTCATTAAAATTATAAACTTCGGTCACTTTAGTTTCTTAACTTAGCAAAATGCCTTTTCACTTTACTCCTTTACCATTAGCACGACGTACTAAAGTGAATAATATTTTGCAAAGTCAAGAACTAAAGTGAGGGTGCACCGATAGCACACAGACTTAAAATTAAAAATGATGATTATTGCAATTTGTGAACCCTGGTTGCTTTGGTTGGGTTTGGAATCCTCTCCTTTGATCTCTACTAGTTAATGCTCTGCTTTATTGAACTAAAAATATGAATTTGATGATGAGGTAACCTTCTCGTTTATACACTTGTAGGTTATCACTGTGGAGCCTGGATGCTACTTTATTGATGCTTTGTTACTTCCTGCAATGAATAGTCCAGAAACTTCCAGGTTCTTAAACCAGGAAGTGATTAATAGATTTAAAGGTTTTGGTGGAGTCCGAATTGAAAGTGACGTGGTATTTCCATTTTCTGAACTTCATTAAGGATAACCCAGTTTTTAGTTTTATCATTTTTATCTTGTCATTGATGTTTTTCTCAACCTTGCAATATTTGCCCTACAATAGATATATTCAATACTATATTTTGGGGCCCTGGGGGGGGGATGCTAACGTACTTTCCTACTTGGTTTTTAAGGATTATCTGAGCAAACTACAAGTTTGAATTTGCTAAATGTTTATAAAGATATATAACTTATTCAACATGCTCTTCCTAAAAACAAGTAAAAATGTTAGTAACCCCGTATGTATGTGTTTCAAATGAACTTTCTTATTTGAGAATGAGAGAATTGAATATTAAGTATTTGATCTTATCATGAATGCTTAAGATTAACATATAAAAGTTTAGTGACTATTTTAAAAAAGTGATTTTTCAAAGTGACATGACTTTAAGAAACTTCTAATTTATATGGATTAAAAGATACTCATATAAAGTCATATAACTTTTGTATTTTCATCTTGATCATTCATAGTAAAATTTGAGGGATGGTATTTTTTCCTCCCACTCATAAATTCAACCTGTTCATTCGATATGTCTCTAGGGTGAAGAATTTTAAACTCCTCACCCATTCTAGTTATCAAACAATGTCATTAGAAGAGTGCATATATAGTTATTCTGGTAGATGAACTTATTTGATTATTGGTTTATTTCTGTGATGTACTCAGCTTGTTACTGCCGCTGGGTGCTACAACATGACCAAGTGTCCCAGAGAAATATGGGAGATAGAGGCAGTGATGGCAGGGGCACCATGGCCAGCTAAGAAGATCTCTGCTCATGTTTGAAACGGACAAGAAAGCTTAGTTTGACTTCAATCGTTCTTGATATGAACAGTTCTGCGTCTTTTTGTAACTGTTTTTAATTTATATTAGAAAATAAGCCGCCCACCCCATCCCTATAAGCATTTTATTGCAAAGCTTATCTGTAGTTACGCTGTACTTGACAAATGTTTCTACCATGTTGAGGTGGAAGTTCTCAGTTAAATTAGAAGTGCTTCAATCATGAGATTGCTTCTAGTCAGCCTATCAATCAAATATGGATCCTTTATTTTCTCGAGTATTTAGTGTACGTCCACCCTTAAACATGACGTATATAGTAGGCACCACCAAGCAACACATAAACTCAATTTGAATGCTTTATAAAGCACACCAGCGACATGAAACAAAGCAAGAGAAACATCACTGGCACTCATAAAAAAACAAAAAGGAAAGGATGTGTTGACTAAATTATGACAGCCAGACTCAATATTACAAAACAAAAAAACCACTAATATTTATGTATTTCAATGAAAGGGGACACAAAAACTGTGTACGTCAGTTGGATTTGGTTCCTTTTGGGTCTTTCCAAAATTTTCACACGAGAATACGTGGAGAGAGATAGGGGGAGACCCTACACTGACAAAATTAATGCAAGTGTAAGAATATGGCCATGTGAGGCCTGGGCAAGCTCTGTCAGTGTCCACCTCATATCTTCACACAACCTCGTGTCAATTGAAAACTCACTGAGATGTATGAACGTCAGAATGTAGTTTACCTTAGGAACAGGTGGGGGAAGTATGTTTACTGTTTAGCTATTAGAAGCCAATGTAACAAACACTTCACTGTTCTTCCACACAAAATCCACAGCAAATGCCAGGAGGAAAGACAACGGGAAAAAGAAGCATAACAATTTCAACTTATAACAAAAATTCTATTAATAACATATCATACAAGATGTAACACACATTCACGCAAACATTCTAATGTACTAAAATACAAAATCGAGGGAAATCTAGATGGGAAAAAAAAAACTTGGAAGCGATCTCTAATTGTTATGGACTCGATGATACAAATGCATGGCGACCTTCACACAGTTGGCCCTGATGTAGGGAATGTCTTCCTTCCTGCAGTTCTTGAAGCAGTTTTAGAAGGCAAGAGAGGTTATGTTTGTCGAAAGTACTCATTAACTGGTTAAAAACTGAAAAGTAATTCTTAGTTGAAAACAATTAAACTTATTAAATTAGAAAGTGTTTGATAAAATTAATTGTTTAATTAGCTGATAAATATAAAATGATATACGGGATATTTTATTAAAATAAATAACATAATGTTGAAACAAATAATGAAATTTATAATAGTGTAAAGGGAAAAAAAATAGAAAAAGAATGACAAGTCAAATACTATTTTGTATAACACGAGGTATTTATTGAACAATCAATTTTAGTCAAATAAATTTATAAATTTACTGAAATAACTTGTAGAACACATTTAAAGTTAAATATTAGAAAGTAAAACATTACCTTCTTCATCTTTCATAAACTCCTTTTTGTAACTGGAGAACGACAAAATATAGCAATGTATCACTTTTCTTAGTAAAAATTATCATAATATCAACTGAGTGATTTAACATGGAAGGCAACTAGAATCAATGCATGCGCATTTGCAATACTTTTAGTTGAGAGATGATAAGGTAGGTCTGATCTTATTTTCGATCAAGAAAATGAAAGGTAACACGTATCAAGGTTTTTGTATTTTCCTAAACCATCATGGTATTCTTTCCTCTACACCCTATTTGGGGTAACAAAAATTTTCTAAGTTATAAAATCTTATTAGAGAATATACTTTTTAAGGTGATTTTGAGAGGTTTTTCAAGTCCTTTACACCTAATACTGCTAAAAAAATAGGACTGGTAAGAAATTACGTTAATTCTACAAAACTGGAAGTTTTTTCCGAAATGTTTTGAGTAGTTTTAAATCCCTTAAGTCCAAAACTGCTCAAAAAATAAGACTAATAAGAAATTACGGTCCACAAAATTAGAAGTTTTTTTGAGGTGTTTTGAGTAGTTTCAAGCCCCTGACATCCAAAAATGCTTGAAAAACAAGAATAACAGAAAAAATATTTTAAGTTAACAGGACTGAAAGTATTTTCGAGGAGTTTTTAAGTCCTTAGCAACATGAAATTGCTCGAAAAACAAAAAATGGCCAGAAAATATTCCAAGTCCACAAACCTGACACAGCTTCAGATATTCTTTAGAATTGCTCGAAAACCAGGAAGTGTGAAATATTCTAAGTCCACAAATCTGGTTGAACTTCATATTCCCTCCAGACTTACTTGAAAAACAGGAATGATCAGAAAAAATATTATAAGTTCACGAGGCTAAGATAAGCTCTCAAACTCCAGAATTAGTCGAAAAAAAAGAAGTCAAGAGGAAAATATTTTAAGTCCATAATGCTAAGTGAGTCTCCTGGATTGCTTCCAGAAATGCTCGAAAGAGAGAAAATAAAAAGTCATGATAAGACTCAAAAGCTAATGTAAGATTCAAAAACGACCACCAACAGTTACCAGTAGTTACCACCAGACGAAGGTTCAATAACATGAAGACAGATTGTGGGCGATAAGAGTTATAGGAGAAGTCTTACTAACAGCACGATTACAAGCCATCATAGATAATGGGTATCAGCAGTTGAAGACAGTTATTAAGAAGTGTCTGTCAAAGGAGGAGAATGACGATGATCTTTGCTAATAAATACTTTAAAGTTTCATTTTTCAGGGGATGACTTTTTGGCATCCAGACACCTATATCCAAAACTTCTGCAAGTTGAAAACCTGCACTCGCTAGACACCAGCTACTAGGAGACTTACAATGTATTTATTGTTAGGAGTACGTTTCAATTTCTGCACATTTACTTTTTCGCATCTTAATTCCAGTCTGTTTGCTTACTTCTTTTCTACAATTTAGTTCTTGTTTTAGCACATTATTGTAAAATAATTCACGTTTGACTTAGTTTTACATGTTTCACATTCACCATTCTTGCTAAATTATTGATTTTGCTACGTTCATTTTATTGTTACGACTAATAACACACTTAAAAAAACCTAAAAAAGATCTAATTCAGTCTCTAGATTATTCTTAAATTATTTGTTTGCAAATTGTCATTTTTCACTGTAAACACAGCCAATAAAAAAACCTGTCATGGTAACAAGTAAGACCAAGAATTAGGTTTTGCTAACAAGTATTCCCAAGTATAAGGTATATTTTTCAGATACATACATACTATATATATAAAATAGGATACACAATGTCAATTCATTGAAGCTAAAGTAATGGAACACACGATGAAGTTAGAGGTTTAAAGCTTTGTTATGGTATATAAGTCATTGTAGGTTTGGTCACTTTGAGGTTCACTAATTAACAGATTCTGAAAATAAGATTAAATTTGTCAAGTCAAAACTCGGATCCAATCTGCTGCAAATAAATAGCGAAGTGGAAGTAGAGAATGACGTTGAATTTACCTAATCTTATCCTGTTCGATAGATACCACCACTGTAGGATGGCAATGAATAAAATAATTGATGACTACCATAAAATTTGCTTATAATAAGTATGTATATTTATATGCTGTATAAGTATTGCTATGGGTATAAATAAATACTCACAAATTTTAATAGAGATGAATACCAATACGAGTAGCTAAGTATTTGTCCTGCCTCATACCTGCATATATATATATAAATTATGCTACTTATGTAAATTTTGATTTATGTTTGAACTTTATTCTACAATTATATATTAAATTTTTGTATTATTATATTACTTATGTGAAGTTATATAAGATTAATATATTTAATAATAAAGTAACCAAAAAAATTATTTTAGTTTATAATTTTAATAAAAAAAATTATTTATTATTTTATATCGTTTAACTAGATTAATACAATTTAATTATTACATAGTTGATATAGGATTAAATTTTTTTAAAAAATTATTTATATATGACACACATAAAATATTTTTCACACGAATATTTTTTTAATAAAATCATATTGATATTTAACTTATAAAGTGAATGATAAATAATAAACATATTATAAATATTTTATAAATTTTACAATCACCTACTATTACCTTAAACTTATTATTTATTGATAATATTTAAATTTTATTTTTTATATTTTAATTTAAAATATTTTTCTATATAATATATGTATTACAAGCACAACTATAATCTATTAAATTTAAATAACATTATTCTTATTATTTATTTACATTTAAAGAAGTTTTTAAAAAGGTATAAAATATAAAAAAATATTGTTAATTTTTATTTGTTAATTTTTTCTTCAGATAAAAAAGTATAATTTTTTTATATACACGTATATTTTTTTATTATAAAATTTTATTGTGACTATTTATCTTTTATTCAAATTTTTTCTTTCAAAATATACATCATAAATATTTAATTCATTAAAATAATTTTTTAAAAATTTATATTTTTGACAAAATACTTTTGTATAGAACATGAGTTAAAATATCAATATATATATATATATATATATATATATATATATTATTAATTATATTATATTATTGTAATTAAATTCGTTATTTTTTTTACAATTACAGATTCAAAAGTAAAAAAAAAGTGTTATGTGTTCATTTCTTATTGTCATTTTATACTTGAACTTTTTTGTCCTAACCTACTCTCATTCTCAATGTTTGTCTCATTCAAACTTATTATAGCAACCATAAATTGTTATTTGTTAGAGTTAGTTATCAATGTTATCACAAGAAACCACCCATTGTGCACTATCTTGTCGTCATTCTGTTATTGTTGTTCAATTGAATCTCATATAAGACAGGATCATCACTGACAAATAACTGAAATGTTTAAGAATTTTAATTTAAAAAATTGTATTAAGATACATTTAGCATTTGTAATATTTGAATATTTGTTTTCAATCTATGATTATACTTTATTCAACAACTACGTATTGAATTTTTGTATTATTATATTACTTATATAAAATTATATAAATATATTTTTTTATATACATATTTACTTTCTCAAACAAAGATAATAAGTACCAATATTGGATATGCAAGTACTCAAACAATACAGGTACAGGAATTAATGTTCATACCCATGCAGACATAAGACTAAGTACGAGTATTTTTTTTTTAAAGTGTGTATATGAATGGATACTATAATACTCTATCCATTGTCATTCTTACACAAAGTAAGTATAGGAATAGATACTATAGTACCCTATCCATTGTCATTCCTACACAGCTACATGTGAGGAATAAAAGAAACAAAAATATTCCAATTCCAATGGTTATATGGGTAACATGTAAATAAAGGGATTATTGATTGATCATCACCATAAATAAATGGAGCCATAGTCCAAGTGAAATTTACAGATACAGCTCAATGATATTCCTTTATTGAAGACAGACTACAAATGAATCAAGGCAACTCCTCCCTATAGTTTTTATATATTCTCTCCATTCCCTTGTCTCCTATATCTACAACCCCTCCTCCAACTCTAACCAACCTCTTCTCTATCCGTCTTTAAAAAATAAAAAAATTTGAAGCAAAAAAATAATAAAAGAAAAAACTGCTTTCAATTACAAAAGTCAAAGGTTTTTTTTGTTCCCTGATATCAAACTTCCAATGAAACACGAGTCTTTATAGGCTTTAGCTTCAATCCCATGCTTTCAGGAGAAAGGAGTTCTGGAGAGATGCAAGATGGACTAAGTGGGCTCCTTGGACTGTCACTGAATTGGCATGGCCTATACAACCCATACCCCATGAAAAAGTACTCCATAGGTATCAGCATTGCATGTGGCTGTTCCTCTGTAACCATTGATCCACAAGCCTGGACCTGCAAAATAAAAACTCACTCAAACCTATTTTTGGTATGCTTATCCATCTCCTATCATCTATTATTAGGTATGCTTTCTTGACATATTCACACATGCACATGCTTAGTACACCCTTACACATACCTCAACCAAGGCACTAAATCTCCTATCAAGTTTTGAAGTCATGTATAGAGCCTCCGAATGGAAAGGAGAACTGTCACCAACAAAAATAAGCGTACGACATTTTAATCTTTTCAATCCTTCTGTAATATCAGCTCTCCTGCAATTTGGCAAAACAAAGTTGTAGCACATAAATTTTCCAATTCAAGATCAGTATTGCAACATACACAGAACGTCAAAGAAAATTAAAATGGTGGAGTAAATATGTAAAGGATTTACTGATTAATTGCTTCAAGAAACCGCAAGACATTTGTTCCCTTTCTTTCATCCAGCAGCTGCAAAAGAGACAAAACCAACACAAAGCAAGATGAATACAACAAACAAGGAAAGAGTGATAAAAGGGATAGCAATCACATTCCAGCTATAGAGCAGTACAGGGGAAAGAAACTAAATTGTCTTAGCACTGACTTTTCTGCATGCTTGAACTATCTCTGATTCTGGAACCTCAACATTGCCACGGACTTCCTGTTAAAGTTGACTAAGCAAAATCACCATATGAAATAAAATAAGGAATATGGTAGGGATACGAGCCTCGCATTACAGTACCGTGCTGAAGTATCTCTGAAGCAAACACTCCTTCAGCAATCCACACATGCCATAGAAATATAACAAATTTGACATCACCTACACATTACAAGTGGTTCTGGGTAAGTCATTAGATTATATAATTCACAAATGGACAATATGCAAGGATTTGAAAGGAACCTTGTTGTAAAACCATTCCGTCCAAGAAGGTGCTTTGCATAAGGGAGATACAAGTATTAAACCAAGAACACGCTCCCTATATTTCATCTGTAAAAACATACCGAAGAATAGCAGATCAATAAAAAAAGTGGCTTCATAAGTTAGAATTAGAACTATGGAGCATTAAATAAATAGCACAGTTTTTCCATTCAAAGAAAAACGTCAACTACATACAGCAAAAAGAGTAAGGATATAAGCACCAGCTGTCACTCCCATACACATCACTGCACCAAGCCTGGACAAGAAAATAGCTCATGCCATTAGTAAATATAGCAAAAGCATTGAATTTAACCTCAAAAAAAGGACAGTGCTCTTCAATTCCGAATTTTCAAAATCTTGGGTCATTCATGAGAGAAGCAAAGCAAGAGATCATATTAAATATTGATTTTGTTCACAAAAAAGAAAGAGTTCCAACCAATGAAAGCCAAAAATATAAATCATCAACACAATAATTATGTTCTAATTACCCAAAATAGTTGAGGACCTCAATTATTTGATCTGCTAAGTCTTCCACAGAAGGAGCAGGATCATCAGGACAAATTGCAGCTGCTCCCAACTGCAAGAACTCTTGTGGTAGTTCCAGAGGAAAAACTATGAATAATAATATTCAGTTCTAAATGCAATAAAAAAACATATTCAAATCGATCAACTTACAAACCTCATGTCCAGGAGGACTGATATGATATATGCAAAAGTTGTGAAGCAGTAAAGAAGCTGCCTCTGGACAAAAAAATAATCCTTGGAAACATGACATATCTGCCCAATACATAGAAGTGAAATATTGACTCATATTTCCAGATTAAATAAAAGGAACAGGGTTCAAACATACACATGTACAATGCAATCATTAATGTAATAGAAAGGGAACTCACACAAATTTCAATAACAGAAGGTGAAAGAAATCAGAAGCTTGAAACATTGAATTAGATAAAAGAAAATATAACTGATAGTTCTTACAATTTAGTGCTAAATCTGGATAAGTGATCAGAGCTGGTTTCTCATGATCCCCGTACACTATGACAGACACAGAACCACAGCCAGTTCGAATATGATGCTCCTGAAATGGTAATCCAAAATGAATGTAGTCCACAAAGACAAATACGACCACAAAGATGGGGAGGAAAATGAGAACCAGAATTGAAATTGGAACTTTTAGGAATGAAAAGAACCTTCACCTAAAGCAAAAGATATCCTTTATTTAGTATTTACTCCATTTGAGTATTGTTAAATTTCATAAGTGAACCTTTTTCTAACATGACTCCCCATGTGCCCTTACCCCTTTTTTAGGCAACCCAAACTAACAAGCAACAGCACATTATTATCACTATCTGAACTGAAAAGTGAAACAAGTCATCCTAGATGCCAATGATTGTATGCTCCAGAAAATTAAAAATTGAGGTGAAGGCAGTGAAAAAGTGGACAGTATCTTAGGCTTTTAAAAGAAGAATGATTGGAACTCATCCAATAACTAACTAATATGTGCATTACTTATAAACCAGAAAAAAGTAAAAATAAAAATAATAATTTCAACCCCCCCTCAATATACACAAACAAAGGAAAAAAAAACCCTGAAAAACAAAATAATGCTAAATTCACAATAAACTATTTCTATGACATACTGACAAAGTCTAATTAGAAATATAACAGTAAGCCTGCAAAACAGCTTAAAACGAAACAAAGAATCGATGAATTTTCAACAAATGAAAATGGAGGAGAATCAAGCCAAGAGCCTCACAAATGGACGGTGGAAGCGTAAAAGAATACTTGGCAAATAAGGAATGCGCAGATCCGCTATTTTACGTGTTCAAATCTTCAGAAAATAAGACATACAATACATTCCAAGAAAGAAAATAAAGAAAGAAAAGAAAATAGGCATGGAATTTTCAGAGTAAAAAAAGAGTTTTTTTTTGGGTCTATTTTCCACAAAGATCCCAACAGCAAAATACTCCCCAATCGAATTCTCCGTTGTGCAAGACACTAAAAATGCAGCATAATTAATGCAATCTTGTGAAAGAGACGATGGCAACAAAAGCCAAAAGAGGAAAACAAAAAACTTGTACCCATTAAACACCGAAAAAGACCCAATTGAGAAACACTTGAAATTGATCCATTCCCCAAAGAAAAAGCAAAAAAAGATTAAATCTTGAACCCCCTCCCCCCAATCCCCAAAAGAAAAAAAAAAAGATGAATGAAATGGTGAAGGTGGAACCTTTCCACCGAGGTAGATCTTCTCCATGTCGAGTGAAACGGAATCATTGGATTCTTGCATGGCTGTAGCTCTGGCGAATATGGAAGCGGTTCTTGTTCTTGATGAACTAAGCCTCCACCCACCAATTTCTTTTTTTATTTTTCTCTCTCTCTCTCTCTCTCAGCTCTTGTTGTTTTATGTTTATGTTTGTGGGGTTGAAGGAAGAAATATAAGGGTCTCTTCTGCTGTGTCTTCAATGGCTTATATACGAAGCCAATTTCGATTCTTTTTGTGTTGTGTTACTCTTCAATATTTTAACCTACGGTTAACATCCACCGACGCTTCCTTTCCGTACCAACTGAATTTAACCTCCCTTCTTATTTTTTTACCTTCCACGACGTCGTTTCTCTCTCTACTCTACTCTACTCTACTCTATCTACTCCTATTCTAATTTTTTTAAAAATATTTAAATAAGAGATCTCTTTGATTATTTTCTTTTATTCTATTTATAAGAGATCACTTTGATTAAATCATACTGATCAAACAAGTATTAAAATTAATTATAATATTTTAACTTTTTAAATTTAAAGTTATATTTTACTATCATATTAATTGTTGAGAAATTTAAAAGTTTTAATATTTTTAAAGAAAAATATGAAAAAAAAATTAAAATTTTGAGTGACATTACACATGCTTAATAAAATAAATAAATAAATATTGTACATATTTTAAATGTTCATTTTATTTTTTCATACTTCACTTTAAGGAACTGACATATAAATTAAGGAATAGATTTATTGTTCTTACTTTTATTAAAATTATTATTCAATTTCTTGTTATACCTCTTTACCTTTCATATTAATTAATTAGTTTTTATTTTAATTGAAAAATTAATTAATAAAATATAATGAATGCCACCTTAAATTTTTTAAAATGACACAACTAAAAAAACCTTCTGAGAAATGTGACAGATAAAAAAAATAAAAAAGAGTAAATATGAATAATATATTGTAGTTAATTTATAAATATAAATCAACTTAATTAAAGATACTTCTCAAAACTTTTATACTTGTAGTAATTGAAAGTAGAATGAATTGGATCTTGAATGAATTGAAATCTCTTATTTCTTTTTCTCTTGCCTTTTTCTCAATACAAACATGGCACCTAATCAAATAATAAAAATTCCCCTTTTTAAAACAATAATATATATATTTTTCTATCTCTGTTAATCATTTTTCTTTTTTCCTTTTACTAAAATGATTTCAGTGATGATGGATACCAAACAAGATCTAAAAGGGTCTGAAATTGTGGGGTGTTTATGGCTTTCATCACTCTGACTATAGCAGTGGCTCTGGTTGGCCCCATCATTTTCCTTTTGACTCCAAACCCTATTGTGCTTCCACACCTGTCCTCAAATGCCCCAATCAAAGGCTCCACCTTTTCTTTTCTTTTTCATTGTTCTTTTGTTTTCTAGTTTCTGTAATTACTTGCATTTTAGACGTCGACATGTATTTATCAAAGAGGGATCTTAGAAGTTAAAAAATGGTAGGTTGCTTGCCTTTCATTTGACTCCAATCATTAATCATGCCTTCCTAATCATCTTCCCACACATTGCTTTCGCCTTTTCCATTTCATTCATTCTTTATTTTCTATTTTTCTCTCACATCTTCACCAAACCTTATTACTAAACAAATTTAAAGAATATTTTCATTTAGCTTTACAGAGTATGTTCCAATTGTCAATATTCCATGTGTAGCTCTCTTTTAATATCAATCTTTGCTTTAATGTATTCAACTAAGTTCTATCTGAAATGAAAATTATCAAACAATTCAGAATGGGTATCTCTGCTTAGTTAATAATTACATAATTTGAAAATTAAAATTGACATTTATTTGAACCGGAGAAAATTAACAATCACTATCAATATTCTAAAAACCTTTGGGATGAAACGTGGTTTTTATTTTAATATTTATCAGTTAGATGGTTTTTATCAATCAGTGTGACTAATCACTCAAAATGTCAATTGCTTTTATAGGTGGGATATTTGGCAATGACATTCTTGCTGACACTGTTTTTCATTCTACCCATAGTTTATAGTCATTAAGCAAATTATTATTGTCAGTTTCCTCTTTTCTTTTCTTTTCTGGTAAAATTATTATCACTGGTTTAAGTTACATAGCTTTTGCAGCTTTTTTACTTAAAAGTTATTGAGAGTGACATGAAACACACGAGAACATTGCATAAGACATGCCTCATGCTCTCCATCTATCGTCGAATTCACGGATTTCATTCAATAGATTAAAATTCAGAGATTGACATTAACAATATTTGATTTTTTTTTTATAACAGCAATATTTTGTATTTTTAATTGTAAATGTTTGAAAAATATTAATTAAAATTACTTTCTTTAGTATTTCATTGAAAATAATTACAATTGAAATTGTAAGATCAAATTTGGACAGGTATTTCCGACAATTTCGAAATCTAAATTCTTAATGTTGTAGATAAATTTTATTTAGGTTGTTGAATAAAAAAATTATTTAGGTTATAGGTCACTTCACATTATCTATTATCTGAGAAGCAGTAAAAATATATATAAACATAATTTTTTTATCATCATTCAAAATTGTAAAAAAAAAAAAAAAGTCATCTTACAAAGTTAAAAATAAAAAATTAAAGATTAAAATGTCTAATACATATAAATTCAATAAGTAATTTAGGGATTTATTTTGAAAAAAAAAATCACATACTTCATCATCAAATATATATCCAGAGTGAATATATTATTTCGTGTTCACATCATCTCCTATCTGTATACTTGTCAATTGAGTAAACTTTAATATATATATATATATATGATATCGGAAATTTTGGTTACTTTAGTAGTGGAGATGATTAAAATTCAACATTGGTCCCCATCTTATGCCGTAAGCTCCCTTTCTCCCTGTCCATTACCAACCTTCAACAGCTTATATTGCTTCCATGAAACCTTGTAGACACCCATTCCCCTATTACACTGATTTGCCTATAAATACCCATTAGTAATAGTAATTTCCACAGTCATGTCATTATCATATTTGACCAATACATGTCTTCCATATTTGCTTCCACAATTTGTAGGTTGAATTTAATGACCACTTCACTGCATTTTCAGTGGCCTCTGTGTGTTAATTTTTATGGATTGTAGCCTTTTCTTCTTAGGGGTTATATTGTGCACACATTAGATAGATAGATACAATCATTATATTTTGAAACTAAATATTTTTATTGCATTTTATATTTGAATTTATATTTTGTTCTAGAATTATTTCTGTCAAATTGTTTGAAAATGTTTTGACTATAAATATTTTTTAAAATTTATTTATAAATATACTTTTAATCATTTTGTATTTTACATAAAATTCATCTTACTAGCTATGAATAAATCACTTTTAATCTTTTAGGATTTTTTACAGCAAGAAAATTAAATATTTGTATTTTTATTATTAGCAAAGCAATGCTTTATCACTTGAAAGGTATTCTCAGCCCCTTCGATGCACGCGTCCTTTTTTGCAATTGTTTGTACTCCTTCATATTGTTTGGGCTTGGGCCCTTTCACCCCCTTTTTGTTCATTTTTTCCATAAAAAATAAAAGAAAATAATAATAAAATTCTATAAGTGACAAAGCAAAAGCAAATAAAGAGGGAAATAAAACAGAGCATAAATTTTTTAAATATTGGATTAAATATGTCCCATTTTTTTTACTATATTAATTTTTTAGTGTCAAAGGGCTGTCTTGCTCTCTCTCTCTTTTTTTTTTTCAAGTGCATGTATATTCCAATCCTAAATTTGATGCCATTAAATGGTACCTCTATCCATGATTCAAGTTTCCTTCTTTTCTTTTATTGGTAATTTTATTTTGATAAATTCTTTGGTACCTTCGAATAGGCATAAGAAAAGGTTAAATCATACTAGGTGACAATCAAACAAGTGTAACTTGTTTAAAAGTTTTAGAGCTTGCGTTTGAAATGTTACCTAACATGGGTTATTTTTTAAAGTTAGGTTAAGCGTTTTAGAAGACTTAACATTAGTTTAAAGCTTATGGAAACATAATTCACATTGAAACTTTAAATGGGTTGATATAAAACATATCATAAAGTAGGTCAATCACAAAATATGCTATTAGGACTTATAGTAAAAAGATTAATAACTAAACAAGCTTATAACAAAATAAGTTAACTATTATTGCATAGCTGCATAGGCCATTGAGAAGAAGAGTTAATACCCTAAAGAGACGTCAACAAACTAAAATGAGGACATGAAAAGCACCATTACAGCTTTTTCATTCCACCATCATATTATAATAAATAATATTTTTATTAAAAATTATAATATTTAATATTATCAATACATTAAATTTTAAAATATTTAACAATTTTAATAAAAACTTGTCATATATAAATTCTCACACGTTTAAAAAATTAATTAACAAACACAATTAAATAGGTCTCATATTTGCTGAAAATGAAATAACTAACATATACTTTATTATATCCTATTAATTTTTATTACTTTATTAAATAAGAGTTGAATATAAAAAATATATATTCATTATTTTAAAAATCTAAAAAATATTTAATAACTTTTTATTTAATAATTAGAAAAATTAACAAATATAAAAAGTAAGAAGATTTAAAATTATTCAACTAATATGTATTAGTACTCATCATAAATGAAATTTTGTTACAAGTTATAATTTCTCCAGCACTTCGAAGCCTTAAAAGAGTTATTATTACCTTTAATAATATAAACGTCTTGCGTGAAGAATCTGAAGATAAGTCTCTAATTTTGATTTCATTGCAACGATTGCTTTATTAAATTTTTTTAAACGATTTAGTTCATTTTCACTATTCAATAAAAGTTACTTTAATTATTTTTAATATAACTTTTAAAAATAAAATAAAAAATTTATAACTAAAAACAATTTTGTTCATTACTAGATAATTTCTAATTTTTTCCCTCTCAAAAGGATGATGTAAATGAAATAAGCTGAGAATTGTTTAAATTTAATGTCATTAGATGTTGAATTAAGGATATTATTTTATAAATTAAAAGTATTTTTTGTTAATATTTTGATAATATAAACTTTGCTTTAATTTAAAAAAATAATTTCTTAATTAAAATGGAAGCATAAGCCTTTAATTATTTTTGTCTTATAATATAATTGATTATAAACTGCATGCTGAATACGCAGTGCGGTGGTGTGTCCCGGGGGCTGAGAAAAAATGTGCGGAAGCGTGGCGGCGCCGGTGGTTGTTTTCGACTTTGATAGAACGATAATCGACGACGACAGTGACCGATGGGTGGTGACTGAAATGGGTTTGACCCACCTTTTCAACGAACTGCGCCACACCATGCCGTGGACCTCTCTGATGGACAGAATGACGGAGGAGCTGCACTCTCACGGGATCACCACTCACCACATTGTAGAGTGTCTGAAAAGGGTTCCTTTGCATCCAAGCACTGTTTCAGCCATCAAATCTGCACATGCTCTTGGGTAAGCCTAATTGATTCAATTCTCTGTTTGAATTTGAGTTAATTTTGAATTGATTTGATTTGCAGGTGCGATTTGAGGATAATTAGCGATGCGAATCTGTTTTACATCCGGAACATTCTGGAACACCATGGCTTGTTAGAGTGCTTTTCTGAGCTGAATAGCAACCCAGCTTTTGTAGATGAAGAGGGACGCCTTCGTATCACACCCTTTCACCATTCTCCCCTCTCTCCTCACACTTGTCCCTTGTGCCCTTCCAATATGTGCAAGGTTACTGTTACTATTACTGTTTCTTCCATTTTTATTATTCTTCTCTTTTTCAGCTTTAACTCTTATATTTCTGGTCTAGGGAGTCAGATTTTAAAGTAAATATTTTTAAATATTAAGAGCTATACTGTTATATCATATTCATATTAAAACAAATAAATAAAATCTTGTTTAATTAAACATATTAATATTAAAAATATTTATTAAAATAAAATATTAAAGTTTTCTTTCTTCTTATTTTATCCTTTTTTTTTTTGTGGTGATTGTAGTCATCCACAGTATGATAATCCTTTTTCAGCGGTAGAATATGTGGAGGGAATCCATTGCTTCTTGCCATTTCATAACTATGGTAAAATAATTTATTTATTTTTTATTTAAACTCTAACTTGGGATATTTCGTATTTGAATAGATCAATTCAAGTAGTTGGACTAAAATAATTAATGTATCAAAACTTGCTCTTCCTATTCAGTGAGTGAAACAACAGCCATCTATGTTCTTTAAGTGAGGGAATTTGTAAGTTGTGGCATGCGACGAACTTGTGAAAGTTTGACTGTCTGATTTGTGTTTAGCCCTTTTGCAAAATATGTCGTGTGATCCTTCTTTCTGCCTTTTTTCTTTGATTTTTGGACTTCTACTGCTGTAATTTGTTCCACCTAGCGTTGGTTCTTTTGTTCTTTCTATCTTATTATAGGGATTAGTAATAGACCGAATCCGAGGTTCTTTGCCGGATAAGAAAAGAAGATTCATCTACATCGGAGATGGAACAGGGGATTATTGCCCAACTTTGAAGCTGGGGGAAGATGATTTTGTGATGCCAAGGAAGAATTATCCCCTCTGGAACCGGATTTGTAGTGACCCAAAATTAGTTAATGCAAAGGTTCATGATTGGAGCAATGGGGAGGAGTTGAAGATCATACTACTCAACCTTATCAACATAGATCAAGCGGTAGCTAGCATCCCCCACTAATGGTGAGGAATGAGAGTCACACACCCCTTCCCCATAGGTAGCGGTGTTAGCTCGTAAGACACCAAAGAAAGGAAACTTCAGTTTATTAAACTCAAATGATTGCTTTGAAGAATTTTGTACTCCAGCCAGGGTGTAATTTCTCTTCATACATTCTCTCCCGTGGAAAGCAACTAAAGGATTAATCTGATCATTTATTTCCATTTTAGTTTTTTGGATAGGAAAATGATAGAGAGTACCAAAACAATTTTTCATCTTATATTCCGATGATAATAATATTCTAAAACAGTATACTTGGATTTCAGTTGAGAAATTTAGGTAGAAAGACGTTTCTTTTAACCTTTGCCTAAATCATTGTTTGAGTTCCTATCTCAAATACATAACATGCTAAAGGTTATGTCTTCGTCAACCAGTGAAACATTAATTTAATTCTTAACATTTTGCCTAAACCATACATAACATTCTAACTTTTCCCTAAAATTTTGCTCAAATCCATGCCTATATTTGGATTTCAGTTGAGAATTTTGGGCTGAAAAATGCTTCTTGTAACTTTTGCCTAAATCATGGATTGAGTTTCTAGTTCAAACGCATAGCATGCTAAAGGTGGTGTCTTCATCAACGAGTGAAACAATAATTTGGTCCCTTAAGTTTTGCCTAAATCATACATAACATGATAGCTTTTGCCTAAAATTATGCTCAGATACATAAATGATTACCTATATTTGGGTTTCCGATGAGAAATTTGGACAAAAAACTTGTTTCATCCACCTTTTGCCTTAATTAGGGTTTGAGTCCCTATCTCAAATGCACAGCATACTAAAGGTGATGTCTTCATCAATGTCTGAATTACATAAATCAAAAGTAAAAGTAAATTTAATTGGTTTGAAATTGTACTTATCTCACAAAGTTTAATTTATTTAATCAATAATTTCAGTTGACAAAGTAAGTTTATGAGGCTAATTAAATCTTAAACTAACGTTGAACAGGTTAAATTAATATTGGGTCTTAATTAGAAGATACATTTGAAAAATGGTAGGCTTTCTGCAAAAAGAAACACTTGTCTCTGAATCCTACCGATTCTGCATTCTGATAATTGAACTTCGGCTTTTGACAGATAGACTTCTTTAAACCTATGGAAAGCGACAACCATAACAACTGCGCCATGTCCCCCATGTGTGAGTATCTTATGAGTTAATGCCTTTCATGCTGATGCTACCATGTTTTTCCAAATGCATGAATTGTGTACACGTTGTCTTATCTCTCATTTGAGGGTGGGAATAAATATTATACTCCTTTTCTTGAAAGGTTTTTGTCTTAGAAATAAATATATCTATATCTATATATATATATATATATATATTAGTAATTTTTTAAAATAGTATATTATATTTAAAATAAATATGAATAGTTAACATTTGCTATTTTTTATTTAGGATATGAATAGGTTCATGGCTATCATGAAGACGTGAGGAATGGAGATGGGAAAAAAAAATCTTGGAATAAGAATTTAGGATTGGAATGATGGATTGGTTTTGTTAGAATAATTCTTTTTGACAAAACTATATTTTACTATAGATACTTTAAATTTGTAAATTTGTGTTAACATGGTACCTACCTTTTATTCATAAAAACCTGAAACTTTTGTTCATTTAATAAATAGCACACAAATTTTATCATTTAATATTATAAATATTTTTCAAATAAAACATAAATTTATGATATATAATTACTTTTTATTGATCTTAATGTTTTAATTATTTTTTTTATAAATAAAATTAGAGGCAGTATTTAGTTACCCTATCACATGTTACATTTTTCAACCGATATTATATAAATAAAAAAAGGTCTTTTCATTTCTTTGTAATATATTAAATCTAAGGGGTAAGGGGTAGCGTTGACTCACGACACTACAGCAGTACAGCTGTTATAGTATTACCTTCGCCATGTAAACAATTAGGTGATGTTGTCCCTTCCTAACTCAAATATTATGTTCACTCATTGTATTGAAATAATGTACGCATTTTACGTCTCTAAATTTAATATAATTCATTGTTTAGAGATTCTTAGTTAGTAATGAAGTTAGATTATTTTTATTAAGGTGACTAAATAAATAATGAGCTATTGAAGAAATAAATAAATTAAAATCATTGAATTTTAAAATATATTAATATAATATAATTAAGAATAATATTTTTTTTAAAATTTAGTTAGTTTAATTTTGATTGTATTTTATTTTTATTCAAAAATTTAATCTTTTCTTAGCTTGTTTAAATATAACAATTTATTATTAAATAATTTTAATATAAATTATATTTTATTTGAAACTAAAAATTTATAAAAAATAAAATATATAATAATAATAATAATAAGACAATGAAGCAAATAATATAAAAATATAATTTTAAATAAATTATATATAATAATTTTTTTAATTTAACACATTTTTTTATTGGTATAAAAAGGAGGGTGCAGTTAAAGGGTACATATGCAGTACTCAGGGCATTATTTAGACATCAATCTTTCATTTTCAGCCAACAATTATGCTTTGCCGCCACCAAATACATAACATCAACCAAAGCAAACAAAATATTTATTGTTCAGCATATGGTCAATCGTGGGCTTTGTCCAACATTTCTGTATGCTCTACTCAAAAGTTTTCACCAGTTAATAATTATATCCATTTGGCACCATCCTACATATGAAAACAACATTTTAATGAACATTTTTTTTAATACGTGTTATATATATATAAGCCTATTAAAAATTATAATATCTAATATTGTTAATCTATTAAATTTTGTAATCTTTTGTTATTTTCAATGAATTTTATTATATATAAAATTTATCATATACTCTGTTAAAAAAATGGTTTGATCAATTTCTCAAGTCAGGCCTTCCTAGATTTGTATTTATTTCACCTTGTGCCAAATGTTGAGTGGGGATTGAATTGAGTTGAGGTGTATATATATATATATATATATATATATATATTTCCAAATTTCTTAATAGTTGGAACTTTCAGAGAGGCTTCACTTCAATGCCTTGTGACTTGCAATAGAATGGAACCTCCTCACTAAAAAAAATTTCACGTGTCATGTCATGGATTCCACGCTATTTGAGAGCTTGGTAGAGTGATTTTGAAGTGAAACCTGTGTATCATTTGCTTATATAATATGGTACTTGGTACTTTTAATATCCATTTCCCTCGGTTCAAGCGACATATTTTACACAGTTCATTCATTCATTATTTTTTTGTTCTCATAATTTTCGGTAACTTAAAAAGCCTAGAACTTTTTGTGGGTTTTAAGAAGAGAACTAACTAACTTAAGTGGTTAACATGATTAATATGACATGATCCTTTTCATTCAATTTTGGGATTAGTGAATTGGATTTGTCTTTACACTCTCACCTAAAAAACTGTCCAATTCTTCGTGTCATGACTTGTTTGAATTTATCCCTTTTTAATTTTCAATTTCCAAAGGCGCTTCTTTCTTTTGTGTGTCTCAATCATTATGCATAAACTGTTAGAAGAAAAATGCTAATAATATGAGATGGGGTACCCACTTTGGCTTAACTGGACAAGATTCTGATTACATGGCCTCACGCATTGAACATGAAATGGGCATGTTCTGTTTGTAATTTTATGTAATGTAACCAACACTGTCCTTTCTTCTGTTCCTGTAGAGTCGCTGTTACTGCAAGAATAGCGTGAATTTTAACTTGTGTGCGCTTTAACAGGAAGGTTGTTAACTAAAGTGCCTTGAAGTGTGTGTCAGTGTCTCCTTCTACTTTTCTTTTCTTTTCTTTTTTTTTCTTCTGGGTTGTCTCAAAAGAACCTTGGTTTCCGAGGGTGTTTGTTGTGACTGTTCGTTGCTGCAAAGTTGAAATATTTGGGCTGATTCATCGTTTCACTCTTTCAGATGGGTTGTGGTGGCTGATTTTCGTTGGCAACTTGAGAACTTGAGATGAATAGCCAAAAGGGTCGTTATGAAGAAGAGATGGGTACCTCAGAGGGGACCGGTAGAGTGGTCGTGGTTGCAGTTAAGGCTTCCAGAGATATTTCAAAGACTGCTTTGGTGTGGGCTTTGACTCATGTTGTTCAACCAGGGGATTGCATTAAGCTATTGGTTGTTATTCCGGCTCACTCAGCAAGTATTGGTTACTTTCATTCATTATTTTCTTTGAATCTCTCTCCAATTGCTTATGCTGTTACCTTGCTCAATCTATGTCACTTTTAATTACTTTATAAGGCTGAAAAAAGAAGAAGAAGAAGTTGCATGTAGAAAATGAGACACTAGATATACAGAGGGGAAGGTTGAATAGCAAATTTTACGCAATTGAGTTTTGAACATTTGAATATGCGAGCTTGATGACCTTCTTGAGATCTGACCAATCCAGAACCCTGTTCTTCTCATTCTGGTAGCAAGGTTTATGATTAACTATAATCTGTGCATTTTCAGGCAAGAGGGTATGGGGACTTTCAAGATTTACTACTGATTGTACCACTAGTCACTGGAGATCCAGTTTAGGAACTGTTTCAGATCAGAAAGAAGTTATTTCAAATTCCTGTTCTCAATTAGTGCTTCAACTTCATGATTTTTATGATCCAGAGAAGGTTGGAACATTAGATTGTAATAACTTAAAGATATATGTTTCCTTTTATTTATGCTTAGTGCTCAGCTTTTCGAAACTGACAAACAATAAAACATTTACACAGATAAAGATTAGAGTGAAGATTCTTTCTGGGTCTTTATGCGGAGCAGTGGCTGCTGAAGCCAAGAGAGTCCAATCAAGCTGGGTTATATTGGACAAGTAATGGATATAATGAATACTTTTGTATTTTTACATTCAATGTTTAAGGTATCTGTTTGCTGTGCTTGTTAATGTGCAAAGCCATTGGTGATTGGTAAAATTGTCAAAATTTCTTATTGACTGAAAACGATTGTTCTCATTCTTCCACAATTGCAGAAAATTGAAACATGAAAAGAAATACTGCATGGAGCAGCTGCATTGCAATATTGTAATTATGAAGCGGTCTCGCCCAAAGATTCTGCGTTTGAATTTGAATAGTTCGCCAAAGATGGATCTCAAAAGGGGTTGTTCATTGACACTGGAGCCAAATGCGTATACAAGAAACTTAAAAAACAAATGTGAATATCCAGATAGAATTAGAGGTCCAGCTGTTACTCCTGCTAGTAGTCCCGAGCAAGGGTCACCACTATTGACTGCAACAGATATTGGAACATCATCAATATCAAGCTCAGATCCTGGGACTTCACCATTTTTCCACCCCAACAATTATGAAAGACAAAGGAGAAGTTTTCCCTTTGTTCATGAGGGACTGACAAACCTGGAGGATATTGAATCTGATTCAGAGAGTGAAAAGTTAAGTATATCATCCAAAAGTTCATATTTTCAGCCATGGATTGCAAATGTAATATGCATAGATGGTGATTTCTCAAAACATGAGGACAATATGCAAAGATCCAGTGACAAGACTTTGGTTTCTACCTATGATACATTGCTTCAGAAATTCTCAAAGTTAGATCAAGATCCTATCTTAGGAATGCTTAATTGTAAAATTGATGTGAACTTAAGCAAGAGTGTTAGAGAAGCAATTTCACTAGCTAAAAGTTCACCACCTGGACCTCCCCCGTTGTGCTCTGTTTGTCAGCACAAAGCACCTGTATTTGGGAATCCACCGAGGTGGTTTACATTTGCCGAATTGCAACTTGCTACTGGTGGTTTTTCGCAAGCAAACTTCTTGGCTGAAGGTGGTTTTGGTTCTGTACACCGTGGTGTTCTACCTGATGGACAGGTCATAGCTGTTAAGCAGTATAAATTAGCCAGTACTCAAGGAGATAAAGAATTTTGCTCAGAAGTAGAGGTCTTAAGCTGCGCACAACATCGTAATGTTGTGATGCTAATTGGTTTCTGTGTGGAGGATGGAAGAAGATTGCTAGTTTATGAATATATCTGCCACGGATCATTGGATTCTCATCTGTATGGTAAATTCCTTTGAATCCTAAATATTTTTTGTTACATTTATAACCATCATTGGAGATTTCTGTTCTTCCTATTCACTTCTGGCTTTTTATATTCACTAGATCATGAGCTTTTGGTATAACAATACTAAATATCTTAATAGATGAAATAATCTGAAAAGTTAATTACCACTATAGTAGTCCCTAATGAAAATTTCCCTCTCCAGTGATTTTTATTCAACCTTGGTCAAAGGATTTAATCATAATCTTAATAAAATGCTTTTGAATTGGATGTCCTTCTGTGAAAGTGCAGCAATCATATAACTCTTTTAAGTACTAATGTCATTAAAGCTCTTATCTCATTTGTTTCTTTTTCAAATTGCTTTATGGAGTCATCTCCCACAACAAAAGTTTAAAAAAATGAGAAAGGATTTTCAAGGAATCATTTGGGTTTGCAGGACGAAAGCAGAATGTACTGGAATGGTCTGCACGGCAAAAAATCGCAGTTGGAGCAGCTCGTGGTTTGAGATATCTTCATGAAGAATGTAGAGTGGGCTGTATTGTGCACCGTGACATGCGACCTAACAATATCCTCCTTACTCATGATTTTGAAGCTTTAGTACGTCTTATTCTTCAATTTTAAAATGTACTCATGTTTAAATTATTGGTTTCATATTCTGTTTACAGCAATTACTGATTTCTATATAAACACTGCTTATCTATGAAATTCAAAAATATGCTTTTAGGCATGTTTTATAATATGAAATGTCTCAACTAAATGCCATTAGTGGATTTTAGGTGGGAGATTTTGGACTTGCTAGGTGGCAACCAGATGGAGATATGGGTGTGGAAACCAGGGTGATAGGAACATTTGGGTAGTGTCACATCAAAGCCAATTTCTATTATATAACCCCTCTCCCTCCACCCCCCAAAATTCTATTTTGATTAGTTGTAAAGTGTGATGATGAAAGCCTTGTTGATCCATAGGTATTTGGCGCCAGAATATGCTCAAAGTGGTCAAATTACTGAAAAAGCTGATGTGTACTCATTTGGAATAGTATTGCTGGAGCTTGTTACAGGAAGAAAAGCAGTGGATATAAACCGGCCCAAGGGCCAACAATGCCTAAGTGAATGGGTAAGATTTTTATGACAACCAATTTAACCTGTATCTGAAAATATTGATTACATATTCAAATATTTATCTGAGTTGAATTTAATAAGGTAGTTTTCATCCCTCTAACAATAACATAATAATTTTACCTGCCATTCTTTCAAAACAAACACTGATCTATTTAAAATTATTTCTCCATTATTGTTTATGGTTCCAATGTTTGGATAGGCGCGCCCATTGCTTGAAAAACATGCCATTCATAAGCTAGTAGATCCGAGCTTAAGGAACTGCTATGTTGATCAAGAGGTTTATCGCATGCTGCAATGCTCCTCTTTGTGCATCGGACGGGATCCTCATTTAAGGCCTCGAATGTCTCAGGTATGTAATTGTATTTGTATGTATTTACTTGTATTTCATATTAAATCATTACTCTCAGGTATGGGTGGACACGAGGTAGCATTTTTCTAATTTAGCTTATAAATTTCATTATTAACAAATTTGATCCAAAGTCTACATATACTGTGCTCGTGAATAGTAAGAAACTAATTCTTTTTAAGGGGGAGGCAGTGATGGATCATACTATGTGTTTTGAGTATGGTTCTGAACATGTTTCTAGAGAATGTAATCAAAACATTCATGTTTAGTGGTTTATTTCATCTATCCCTCAATTGTTGTTTATTTTCTCATATAGGTGCTCAGGATGCTGGAAGGTGACATTCTCATGTGATTGCTGATCACGTAGATTGCCACGTAGCGACAACGAAGAAGGATAATTCGAAGCATGTAGATTGCCATGTCATCATTATGTCTTGTGAGGACTTTCAGATGAAAAGTTGGAGGTTCTTGGGCGGGTTCGCTTACCCTTTATCTGTGGACAGTGCAGAAGTTTAAGGCTTCATGCAGATTCTTCTGAATTTTCTTTTGTAAACGGCTTCAAAATTTTTACTCGTAGATTTTTATATCAGTGTTGTAAATATTATCTTTGATTTGGTGGAGGGAAGAGAAGCATAGTTTAACCAAATTCGAACTCCTGTTAATTAATTAGTTCATTGTACATGAAAGAAATTTTGTGAAACACTTGAATTCTGTTGTGGATGTGGAGCAAATAATTGCTGGCCATGCAATTGAGTACTATTTTGAAGTAGGAATCATTGCTTCTTTCAATCACTCAATGGAGAATATCGCCTGAACTAAAAGCATTGGAGCATAACGTGGTGCGACATGAAACATGATAATCAATCCTCAGGTTAAGAAATTCTTATGGATCCTGGTTTTTGGCATTAGCAAAACATCATGTGACACTCCAGGTCAAGGCTAGTTGCAAGGTTCGGTAATTCACAAAGATTCTAGTAATTGAGGAACGGTACCCAATGACAGCGTAAGGTTAGGTACAATTCTAGTCTCCAAGCCACGCATTGTCAAGTTGTATTTCCCAAAACATTAATTTACCTTCGAATATAGTTCGAATTTTACAATTACGTGTCAACAAATTTGGTAGAATAACAAAAATAGCAAATTTTGTACATGTAAAAGCAAGGTTGGGCTCAATGAGTACAAGGAAGACATAATGAGTATTGGGCCTTTACTAACTCCTATCAATGGTGTTTAACAATATGGGTCATATTTGGACTCATGGGTGTGTGAAAGACGATTCATCCGCAAGGATCAAAACCAGGCCCATTACTATATATTAGGCTGATATTTTGTTACTTTGCCAACCAGATGCGAACTAACCGAGGTTGTCAAATTTTTAATGAAATAAATTATTGTTTAAGAAGTAAGTAATCATGAGTTAAGAAATTTGAATAATTTGATTCTAGGTTAATAATAATGAATTAGAAAATTAACCCATTCGTCAATTAAGTTTTTGTTTTTTAAATAAAATAATAATATACTATTATGTGATACCATATAAAGTAAGAAAATGAACTAATTATTGGATCAACTTTCTAACCCAACCCAAAGCAGGTCAACACAATTCCAAGCTGGGTCGAATTTGATTTTGAAAAAAATGATCTTAGATTTTGGTGGTGATCACATTTTGGTCTCTTATTGACACAGTTTTCATAGTTGAGCAACATTTGTAGTATTTTCTTTTAGGCTTGGATGATTTCTGGTATGTTTTTTAGTTTAAAATCTCCAAATTGTTAATAAGGCAAATGGTTTGAAGGACAAGCTTTTGCTCAAATTATGATTTGTAACTTGTCGCGCGGAGTTTTTCAGTGATTTATTTAAAAAAGTAATTAAATTTCTAGAAATAATTAAATCTAAAGTGTTTCCAAACAAATTATAATTTTTGTATATTTATCATTGGTTTTTTAATTTAATATTTAACAAACACTTACATGCTAAAAAATAAAGTGAAATAATAATAAAATATAATTTTATATTTATAAAAATGACTTCAAATTTAAAATAAAATAATTTTAAAAGAATTATGGTTATTTATTTAAAGTATAATGCTTAAAAATTAAAATTAAGTAAATTATATATACTATGATAATAAAATATATAAATTATATTGTTTAGATATTTAAAAAAGATTTCAAATAAATGTTGACACTTATTATGTATTTAAAAATCAAAATTGTGCATAAAAAATATATAAATCTTAATGCCTGTAACATTAGTTATATGTTATTATTTTTTATCCTGCATACTTTGGGAAAGTGACAAACATATGGCCCATTGTTGCTCGTTCCTAGTTGACATGTTGCGCATGATGTTGATCACTCAAAGAATTAATGAAAACCGTATAAATTATTGTACGTGATATTATATTTATCTCTTTTTAATTGTTAATTGTTTTATTATAATAAAATAAATTTTATATTGTTCAAGTACTTCAATTTTTAATCATATTAAAAATATTATGTAATATATTGTGATACAAAATCTATCATAAGATTATTTTTATAATTTGTTTTCATACAATTTTCTTTAGTTTCTTTCTAGCACTTGTACGTACAGTAAGCAAAGAAAATTTTATATTTTTTAAAAATGGAAGATAAACAACTAATAATAATAAAATTTTATCAGAATAAAAAGTATTTATTATATTTTTATAAGTTTAATATAATAACTGTGTATTTTTTATAAAAAAAATTATTTAAAAATTCTTAAATTCAACCTTAAGAAATGAGATTAACAATGTGTATATATATATATATATATATATATATATGTCTCGTTTTGTAAACTGTTAAATCACATGATTGTAGTAGCTTATGCTGTTGCGATCAAGACATATGAGTGTCTGTTTTACTTGTGAAAATAACAGAATTGAAATATCTTGAATCAATTGATGATTAGTTGTAGCATTGTAAACAAGTTTGATCATTGAACCAAAACGAATCACCTTATAGAAATATGCTCTTCAATCAATATATATATATATATATATGATAACAAAAAATTATATATATAAAAAAGATACGTTAAAAAAATGGAGTGCAAGGGATATTGCACCATTGAAAAAGGAGAAGACACTTTCAAACCTTTGATGTTAACAAAGATCATGATGTAGATATTATGAAGTCCATAGTTTTACTGATATCTAGCCATTAAAAAAACCAATTTTCATGAGTCGATAATATCCATACAACAATCATCCAACCAACATCCCCTAAGATTTTGCTCCTTTAACCAAATCTCTGTATTAATGAAATTATTTTTACAAACCTAAAATATACTAAACATGCATCAATACTCAGCCATGTACGTATTTGTATTTTCCAGACCTGTGCTGTTATTCTATACAAAAATAATATATAAGCGAATTGCATTTTATCACAACTAAAAAGACAAAGATGATTGTGAGAATCTTGTAAAACACCTCTTTTTTATTATAAGTTTGCTTTTGTTGGGATTCTATTCAAAATGACCAGCTAAATAAAAGCAAGAATTATGAAAGATGCATAATAATGCCAAATTATTTTAAAAAGACTTTCATCATTCTAATACTGAACAGAAAAGAGAAGAGATAATTAGAATATAACAAGACTTTATGGCCTGTTTCTTCTCACATTACTTCCTAAGATGAAAGTAAAACAAAATTTTAAGTGTATTATACATACATATATAATTAGAATTAGATATTAAAAATTAACACGAATAATTAAAATAAAAATTTAATAAAAAATAATATAAGAAAAGGTATTACACTCAAATTTTATCCGAAAGAGTAATAATCAATATAACAAGCTACTTCTAGGTTTGCCAAAAATACCTTCTTAACAATTAATTTCCTTCTTCAAAGTATAGAAAGAATCTAATGTCATTGTCTTTCAAACAGTTAAACAGACGGAGGAGGAAAGGGTTTTCTTTTTTCTATAACCGGATGAGACTGATAAGAACAACTAAATTGTCAATGATCACACAAGAAACCTAACTTGTGATATATGTTATTTCTGTAAAGAATGAACATACAAGAGAGCAAATTTATTTATTTATTTATTTTTTAAATGCTAGCTCTATCCACGCTCAAACAGCGAAGTTGGTGCCTGAAAATGATATATTTTTTATGAAAATGTCCGTACAGTATATCACAAGGTCGATTGATTCCTTCTACAAGTGGAATCTAATGGAGATTTTATTTTAAATTGTGTGGAAAAATCACAACGTGTGAAATGAAGCTCCAGAACTAGAACAGGTTGATAACAGCTGGCCTTAATTGTATACTGTTTCTGTTCTCTTATTACTTCTCTAGATAAGATTTTATGCGTTTGATAAGAGGAAACATGTATTTTCGATTTTTTTTACTCCAGACAATTTTCCATGTAAGGTGTAAAGGGGTTACATCATTTGATCGAAATTTTTTGGATGATAATCTATTAATTGCTTGTACCGGCACAAGCTGTTGGTCATTTAAATTAGAAGAGAGCGACAAATCGAATAAGAAAAGATCACTGATTTTGATATTATTATCTTTGAAACATGTGGAATCTTTTGAATAACAATAGTTAAACAGACGGAAATGTACGCGTTATATATATAATTAAGTGTTAATTTCACTAGTCAATTATATAGAGTTGTTAATTAATTTCCATCTTTCACTTTACCTATATTAATCAATATCGAATTAACCTGTGGTTGATCAGCAGATAAATTGTCAATTTAGAATGAGCTGTAATTAGTAGAAGTTTAGATATATGATGTGGAATGCGGGGACTTGTTAATTATCTACAGTGTTTTTCAATCTATCATTTCCAGTTGTCAATTTTATCTCATGTGACTTCTAATTTGTCTTTTTTAATTTGTTATTGTTTGTTGTAGCTAAAATAGGAAAATTTACTCTATGATTTTATGTTAATTTTGTTACTTCAATGATATGTGAGTTGTCATAAAATTCACCATAGTTTTTTAATATATATTTTTTTGTTAATTGTACTGATACTTCATTATCTAATTAATGCTAAGGAAAAGAGAGAACATCTATTTACTATTTATACCAAATTCATTGGTATCTTGGTGATAATTACACACTTAAATATATCATGATTCGACATGATTCAAGGTGATTAAATTGAATAATAAATGCATGCACACTCATAATAGGCGATATCAACTCGCTATAAACTATTGAAATGATTGCAACAAGTTAAGAAATTTTCAATACATATTGTATGAAATGCACAGAAATGGACTGACGAATATATATACAATACTCAGTTTCCTCATCTGCACAATCATTATTGCTTAATTTCCCATGTTGCTCAATTTTGACTTGAAGAAAGTGATTACTAGGGAGAACAGCTCTTTGAAAAATTAGAAAGCCACTTTATTGAGGAATCATGTGGTAGAAAATTGCATGATTGTCAATATAACAAATATAAAGTATACTATTGTGGTCCTTCGCCTCCACCAAGTGATGCAATTCGTTTAGAGAAAAGTTGTTGGGCTACCTCCTCTATCTCATAATCTTATGCAGCTGTTTAAATTCAATATGGCCTGGAATTATTTTTGGAGAATAAAGTGCTTTTATATTGGATATCCAGTTCAAATTTCATTCCATTAATGGCTTTTGGCCACGCAATCTATCTTTTCAGCTAAGTTGCACATTGAGCCTGTAATTTTCTATAGTTCTGTTATTTAAATTGTTAAGTGTTTATATTGTAGATGACATTGTATTCAATAATATAATATTGTTTCGAATTTTTTAACGTGTACATAAGAGTATATAATAAAAAAATTAAAAAACAATAATTTTTATTAAAAATTATAGTATTTGATCTTATAAATTCATTAAATAAATTATTTTTTGATTAAAATTTATTATATTAAGTTCTTATTGTGTGTCTTTATGCACACATTAAGCAATTGATTATTTTTATTTATTTATTTTACCTTTTTTATATACAAATGTGTAAAAATATCTCTCTAAAACAAAAGAGACACTGAAAAAAATGTCTTTCCCAAAATGCACAAACATCATTTTAGATTTTCTTTGATATAATTAACTAGAATTAATCAAAAGTGCAACTAATTGCGAGTGATTTATCATGATTTTTGAGTTTTGAAGTTGGAATCCATGTAAGTGAACTCTCTTTACAACACGAATGGGTACTCTAAGAACATTAATTAAGAAAATAAAAAACTATTCAATAAAGGAAAACCATTTTTTATATTAAAGATATAAAATTATTTAATATTTATTTTTAAAATGATTAAAAATATTTAGTATGTTAAATATTCTTAATCAACATTCTCAACGCGTTCTTTATTTCGTTGATTGATTTTGACCTGTGAACTAACCTAACCCGTTCTTTACCTTTTGTCCTCTTCCACATCCAATATACGCTTGAGATTAGTGCTTCTTTCTCCATGATACCCAAAGACTAATTATCAGTGTCAGCTGTGCCTTATGACCAAGATAGCCCAATTTGGTAAGATGAGGGGAGGTGCATCCACTGGATTGGATAAATAGTTGTATAGTGTAATATTTTAATACAAGCTATGCAAAATGATTAGTTAGTAATGTACTTTCACTAAAATTATATACTATAATGAAGTCGGAAATGTACAAAGTTCTTTTTGTACTTCAAGAAATCGTGAACCAAATTTTGATTAAACACTTTGTTACTGGATGCAACTCATTCTAGTGGTGCACTTGTGGCCATATGTTGCTCTCAATTTATATATATAAATATGTCTTTTGCCGTTTGAGTGCGACTGGAAATAATTAAAGGTATTAAGTCCTATTAAAATAATATCTACAATTAATTAGTCATTCAATAAGGCTTCAAGTCATATAATAGATCTAATAACAAGTTAGATCGTTTAAGTTAAAAGAACATAATTATTGCATTTACTGTTTAGTACTCATGAAAAGGTTTGATAAAGAGTATTTTGCATGGAGGCAAAGTATTTTTCGATTTTTAAGAATAGGTCAAAAAAGAGGAGAGAGGGACGATAAAACAAGGGACAAAACACGTTATATGATAATGAATTCAGACACTTATAATTTGGAACGAATTAACAGTTAAAAAATCTTGAAATGTGTTTTGTAAAATTCTCCAAAAATAATTAAGCATCGTAATTAATTGTATTCAAGAAGATTCCTTGCTATGATAATGCCAAATGAGTCTCAATTAGATGACCGAATAGACGTGCATGCCACAAAATTCAACAGATTAAATGATATAAAAACGCTATCTAGGTAAGTAGGAAAGAGCTAGGTGGATAAGATAATATTCCAAATTTTCTGTTTTTGACATGCAACTTAGTTAAATTAATTACCCATTGAACAGCTATATAACTTCATCTTACTTCTTTATTGAATCTCAGATTCTAATTATGGTGAAGGATTCTCACTTCCAGATCAAATTGCACGATGTTTTCAAACATGATCTGATCACATCTTAAATATAAACGTAGCGTGCCGTTCTCAAAGTAACAACCCATATTTTAATAAATCATGTATTTTTTACTATGTTATATTTCAAGTGTAGAAAACTTACATATTTTTGTCATATGCTGTTTATTGTTCAATGGATTGCAACCCATGTTCTTTCTTACTTCTATCCTTTTATTTTTCTGATGTGATATGTTTGAGAGTTACATTACTTATATACTTTTTTTCTTCATTATATTAATTATCTTATTATTTATTGAAAAAAAATGTATAAATACAAATTTTCTATAAAATATGGTTTACAACATGTGTCCTTTCTTGTTTCTACCCTTTTTGCAGCTGTTCATGGATTGAATTTTAAGCGATAATAGGAAACTTGTGGAAAATAGTTACAATACAAGAGAAATGGCTTGGTATCATATTCTGTCTTTTGAAAATCTATTTAGTGCCTGTTTGTTTTAAATTTTAGTCACCACAAACGGAAAATTTGATCACTCTAAACAGGCTGTTAATTAGTAAACCAGCAAGGAAAGTTAATAAATTGCATAATCTATATAATGAAAACCGTATTATAATACATTCTATCTTAAGAAGTTGGTCAATTCTATCACAAGTTTGAATAAAGAAAACTCACAAAAAGGTTTGGTGCCATTCAGAAGCAATATTATATATATTTTGACTTTGAACAGTGCCTTGAATATATATTGACGAGAACCGTTAAAATGTCCGCGTAATATATGCGTTAGGATAATAAAATTAAAGATAAAAAAAATTAAACATAGTTGTTTAATTTTTTATTATGAATTAAAATTTATCAATCTCAATCAAAAAATAAATTTGTTGAAAAAAACATGTTTCACAATTATGTGTAAATCTCCATAAATCTTAATTAATACTTAAAAATATATTTAAGAGTATATCAATCGAATGGTTATAGCATTTTTTTTGTTCAAAATTAAAATTTATGATTTAATTATATGAATAAATAATATAAATTAATGGATTAGTTCAAGTATCCCATGAAATAAAATCAAATTAGGCCAATAATTTTCCAATATAGACTACTTGTTTTACCTCGTTTCATACCCTGTTAGTCCTTTTCCGTTGTATTTTAAAAGATCATGTCTTATTAATAGCTTAAAAAAAACTGGGAAATATTATTTCTATAGATTTCATTAAAAGTGTGTGCTTAATTTAATTTATATAAAAAATATTTATTCATTTTATTAAATTTAAAAATAATAAACGGTGATTTAAAAAATAAGTAAATCTAAACATGCGATCAACATCCATTTGAAACATTTAATTAATCTAAAGCAGTGTGAAAGCCAAAAATCTTGCGATCTCGTCCTTTTCATGGTTTCTTTAAAAATCTTTTTAATGAAGAGACATATTAACAAAATATTAAAAGTATTTTATTAAACATTTTAAATTATAAAAAAGTATATTAAATGTTTATAATTTTAAAATAAGAAATATATTTGTAATTTTAATAAAAAGTTATTTTAAACTATTTGACGTGTATTCTTAAACATAGATTAAAAAATCATTTTTAAAGTAACATGGTGTATATATATATATGTATATATAGCAATTTCCGTTGAAAAGAATTAGATGGACACAACTTTCAAAGTCTTCCGGTCCTTCGATATTTCCTTTTTCTCGTAAGTCATGCATAGACTTACATACCTTTTCTTTCTTTCTTTCTCCAAAGCTTGAATGGATGGAAAATTCTAACCATCTTCTTTTACACTTTAATTTAATCATGTGTTTTCAGGGAACTTAAAACAGAAGCCTTGAAGGAACACAAATGTAGACAAATTTTTAACATAAAAGAAGTTAATTAAGACTAAAACATTTTTATATAAAAAATATTTTAATATTTTTAAAAAGTAATATAAGAATATATTTAATAAAAGATAATAAAAATGTTTTAATATAAAAGATTGTTCAAAATAGTTTATGAATTGCAACTAATTTTAAAATGCAAGTAATTAACTGCTTGTATATATATTGTATCCATGGAAGTTAAATAATTTGCAGGTAGGTGTACCCTGAATTGTCCCATAAGATATAAATGCTCAAAATAAGATAAGATATATCTGTCTTTATGATTTTTATTTTACAAAAGAAAAATAAATAAATAAAAATATCCAACAATAAACTACGTCCATCCAATCAACTTCCGTGGGTATGCGTCTCCATTTTCATTAACCCCACACCTTACTCCATCATCATATATACATTCAAACACATCTATTTTTCTCCCCTTTCTCTTTCTCTCTCTAGACATATAGATACACATAGTTTGTGTTTGATTTGAGGTGTTGAGAAAATCTTTGTTGGGAGTGAATATGGGGAGGAAGTGCTCACATTGTGGAAACATAGGGCATAATTCGAGGACCTGCACTTCTTTGAGAGGCACTAATTTCGTTGGACTTCGCCTCTTCGGCGTGCAACTTGACACTATCAAGAAAAGCTTTAGCATGGACTCCTTACCCTCTTCATTTTCTCCATCAAGAATATCCATTGATGATTCATCCTCTTTTGGGTATCTATCAGATGGTCTCATAGGTCGAGCCCAAGAGAGAAAGAAAGGTATATATATATAATTCAAATGAGTTCTATTTTTATCCATACTTGTGCCTTCATCAGGAATTAATATAATAATAATAATTGGATCGCTGTTTCCTTCTAATTAATTTTGTATGAATCTATACAATCAGTGTGTCTAAACATATATATAAACTGTTAACATCGGTCACTTTTTTTAGATACTATATATGACTTTGTTTTGGAAACATTAGTAATATATATGCAGTGTCTTTTACATATTCATCTTTTCTGCCATATTCTCGAAAATCTTTTATCAAAGCAGTTTGTTCAATAATTCAATTCCGATATGCCATCTCATTTTATATACCTTTGAATAGTTTAACATTGTTATGTATATTCATCTCAGGAGTTCCATGGACAGAAGACGAGCACAGAATATTCCTTATTGGACTTGAGAAGCTGGGAAAAGGAGACTGGAGGGGTATCTCAAGAAACTTTGTGACCACAAGAACCCCAACACAAGTAGCAAGCCATGCTCAAAAGTACTTTCTTCGACTTGCAACTATAAATAAGAAGAAGCGACGTTCAAGTCTCTTTGACTTGGTATGCATATATTGTTTAATTGGCTGATTGTGCACTGAATTAATGATCTTTTTCTTTATTACCGAAAAGGGATTCTCATTAATTTTTTCACCCCTTGTCATTGAATGTTGTGACAGGTTGGTAGCAACAATCCCAACGTAGCAGGTCATAATCCAATTATTAACTGTTGTAATTCAGTTTCGGGTCAAGAGAATAAGCCTAAATATGAAGTTAAGAATGATGCCACTTTGTCGTTGCTAGGGCACATAACCTACTTTCAACAAGAAACCAAATCAGATCATAAGCAAGACACTTTGGATAATTACTCTCATCACTATCATCAAGTTCAACAAGCTGCAGAACATCAAGGAGTTCCTAATCTGGAGCTCACTCTTGCAGCCCCCAAGGCAAAGGCCCTGCAGGAACAAAATAAATCATCCCCTGCTGGTCCATTTCTGCTTGGGCCAATTAGCGTGACTTAAACTGCAAAGTATTATTTATATATACATATTAATTGTCTTAGGAATGTACCCTTTTTTCTGTTGTCAAGTGTCAACTCATGTAGAAGATCATCTGATCAAAGAAACCGTTTTTCTTTGCATTAGTTGTAGTCGTTAATTAGTCCCTAGTCAATGCAATAATCAGATCCCTTATTCCTTTGAAGATGTATAATACACATAAACTAGGCTGTTGACTAATGACTACACATACATATATAATCTGGATTGCTTCTTCGAGTGTGCAATATTGGGCTAGGCTACGTGAGGGGAAAATTCAAATCGAATAATTAAATTAGTTTGAATTAATTTGATTAAAATTTGTGTATTTTAGACTTTCATGATTAAGTTTTCCTTCTTCTTTTTCCTTTTTTCAGATTAATTTAACTCCTTTACTTAGCACCCAATTATCAAGTATTTTCAGCCATGTTTACTAACTGACCTTGTCATCGTATTTAGAATAAAGAACTCAATGAAATGTTATACAACATGCATTTGAGGAATTACTTTGATAACTATCTTGATCATAAAAGAGTAAAAATTAGCATTTTATCTTGCAACAGTTCAGTGTAGTTTAAAACTAAAAAAATATATTTAAAGTATCAATAACTTGGAGAAGCTCTATGATTCCTTATACTATAATTCTTTGGTGGATATACTATTATAATACTGCGTGATTGGATGTAATTTTAATTATTTAAATTTTAATGCATCGTTGTTGTAAAAAAATTATATTGTTATATATTAATTTATTATCATATGATTTAATAAGTTAAATAATATATATTATTCAATTATTAGATAATACGACAACATTATCATTTGGTAGAATTATAACAGGGAAAACAAATTATTCTGACAAAGCAAAATTTTGTTGTGGAAGAAGATTTTGTAAATTCATTACTACTGTGATCTTAAGCCTGCGTCTGGTTAATTTTGTTCAGACATTATTCTGCCTGTGTTAGTAATTTTAAAAAGCACTTTTCAATAGTCTTGTCCCACAATTTCTTTTCCAAAAACAGAAAGGAGAGGAGAACATAAGTAACATTCACTGAATTTTGTTTAATTTCAAGGTGAATGCTAGGTTGTAGAGTAGTACTTTTCTTAATTTATTAATTATATTTAAACATGCGAAGTTGTTCGAGTGTTTCCCAATTGGTTGTGCCTGATTCCTTCAGCATTTCAAATCCTTTGCAACAATGGTGTTGCTGCTTCTTCAGTAGTTCCAAGCGATGGAGTGTGGGGTGTGAATATCTATAAAATACTTTATTAATGTTAAAGTTAGGTTGTTTTATTCAAACAAATAATATGAGAAGAGAAACATGCGCATGAATCAATTTTGAGTATCATATTTATAATTATAAGATTAGAGCGAGAGTAAATCGCAAGTATGATGTCTGTAAATTAAGCCTCATGGTGTTTCTCAACCTTCTATTGCAGATCTTAGGCATGAAATTCATTTATACAATAATACTCTAGACCCGTAACATGCAGGTATATGCCTTTGAGGTTTAGGTCAAATAGACAAGAGTATTTTGGACTTGGCAATGCATATAACAACAGTTTGTTTTAATTTCTTGCTTAAAAAGAATAGTGATTAAGAGTTGTTTTTTTTTTTATTATTATTTATGGGGTTTTAAGAATAGAATTGGAGAGCTATACAATAAAACTAGAATCTTGAACACGTACGTACCCGTAAACTTGTGGTTAAAAATTAGGTGAAGCATTTTTGGATTGTTTTTTTGCTTCAGTCATTGTGAGTATATTTATATATAAACTACGTAACAACCGTTTTTTTCGTAATTTAATTAACAATCTGCTTGAAAGTAACCAGAAGACCGATCCATTTCATGTATATTTGATTTTTCTATACCCCAAGATATCTGCATTGGCTCCGTATGCATTGCCTCCTCTCACCTCACATTCATTATGATGTGGATGTGCAGAAAGAGACTGAAACTTTTCAGAAGAAGGCATATGGCCCCCCACATAGTGAGCACTGACATTTTTGTCCTCACCTTAGAATTAGTAGCTTTTGAATAGTAATCCTGCTGGCTGAAAAGAAAATAAAGTAAAAGAAAAGGAAAACATAGTATACATGAAAAATGCCAAATAAGCCAAAATTTGGATCTGCTTTTCTTTGGAAGTAATTATTAGCTTGGCTGGATTCCTTCGAGATTGACTAATCCCTCTACTCTAATAATCATAGTACTTGATTTCTCTCCACTAATATTAATTAGTACCGAAGCTAAAAGATATTCAGAAGTATAAAAGGAAATTTATACCATGCAGCTTGTACAAGGTCTATACTGCTACATGAGCTTAATTAGTTAGTTGGACTTGGTTAATTGAAAATTCATTAATTAGTTAGTGATTACTTAATGGTGGTAATTGGTTATAGATGATTGGATAACTCCTTTAATTTGTTAGTATATGAGTGGTCCCTTGAATAAATTTTACTATAGAGAAGAGAAGAGACTTTTTCCAGCGTTTGAACTAGAACTGAAAGTTCTATCCTAATTAACAAGAAAGTAGCATTTCTTTGCAAGCAAAATTGTAGAGGGGTGGCTTTAAGTCAATATTTAGTAAAAAAAAAAATATTGATTCTTAATTTCTTATTTTATTTTTATTTTTAAAAAACGCTTTTCCATGAATTATTGTTGACTTGTATAACTCACTTATCATATATCTGATGAATGTCGTTAATTATTAGTTCTCACAAACAATTGTTGTTTGCATCGGCTGACTTTTCATTTAATTTTGATATTTTCAACCAGATGTTTTCTTGGTTTTGATAGGAAAGTGCAAAGAGCTTGGTTAATAAGTTTACTCACTAACTATACTAATATCTATATATGAAGTATATTACTATAGTCCTGTGAAAGTATGAAGTATTGTTCATGATAGAATATATATTTGTGTAGAAACTGAAGCATATCCTGGCATTTTGATTATAATATGAAGATAAGGATAGGAGGAAAATGAAGCACGTCCACAAGATTGTGAAGATAATATATCAATCAAACCCCGCTAGGACTTTCTGTCGGGAAGGTACCTATCACTTGCTTATTAGTATTTAATTTGCTAAGATTCATTCAAAGGATTGTTGAGAGAATACATTATGTCATTTAATTTCCTTTGAATGCGAATATGTTTTTCAATGGTGTACTTTTTCCTTGAATTTATCAGATTGATTCATTTGCTTAAACTATGAAAGTAATACTTCCCAAGAAGATTTATGAGAATCCAACCGAAATTTCGGGGTTTTTCATTTTTCCAATGGGTGTCACTGTTTTATGAAGTATTATGGACTATTTACAAGGTTTTGCATGTGCCACGAATGTAACTACAACAAGGTTTTACAATAGGCTTTTACGGTACTTGTTTTAATCCAAGTAGACATAAATTGCTATATAAATTACTTTTCAAAATAATAAAATAAAACCAAATCAAATCCTGGAAGAAGTGAAGGAATTTAACAAGTAGGAAGGTATGAAAGTGATGTAAGGGTGGATGAGAGAGTAAGAGACACACGAGGCTTTTTATTTATTTATTTATTTATTTATTTTACTTTTTAAAATTATAGTTTAACTTTGATGTACTTTAGAATAAAAAAATAATTACACCGTCAATTAATACATGGTAAATATAACTTTTGAATTAATTATGATAAAAATTAATAATTCTAGTAGATATGATAATTTATACTTAAATAATAGTGTTAAAATTGTGTATAGTATATTTCAATTAAAATCTTAAAGTTAATATATTTACTGTTTAATATATAATCATTTTTATTTATTTCATTAATGATGTCAATTATTCATTGTCAAATTATTTTAAAATGGGTTGATGTTTTATGATATTAGCTTCACTTGAATAACATTAGTAGTGTAATTTTCTTTACATTATCAAATCCTAAATATAATTTTTAAAATAATTATTACAAAATTATTATATAATAATTTATTGTTGAATGACTTGGTTGAAACTAGAAAGCATTTTATCCATGGACCACCATTTTCCTTGGGGGAAAATAAATGCTGTCATATTCTCCGCAGACGCCTACCTATTCGTCCTTATGTCAATGTCGTTTTGAATAGGATTTGAATTATGTTATAGTAACGATGAAGAGATCGAAATACATAATTTTAGAAAGACATAATTTTCATTAAATAAAAATTCACCATAAATTATTATAAAAATCACTAATTTTATTGATTTTTTTAAAAATATAATTGTATCATGTTAGCTAAATTCGGTATTTAACACTTTCTCCTTCACTGTCGTACATTATACTCACGATGCAGCAAATACAAACATACGAAGCTGTTATGAGATGGTCACGCTGGGTACAAAATTAGTTCAGTTATCGCTGTCGGTCGGAAATATCCATCAGAAAAGGTCACCTATGCGGTAAAATGTGAAGCATGCAAATCTGGATTAAGTTCGGCTCTTAACTTTTATAGAGAACATATCAAAGAAAGCTCTTTTACGCAAAAATAAGAAGAATAAATAATATGATAATGTTTAAAAATTATATAACTTTTAAAATTCATCATCTAACTTAAAATAATTTTAAATTTTATGGTTATTCGATCTAAATTTATTATTTTTATTCTTGTAGAAAAATAACATTGTTGTTTGATGTATGCCATATATATCCTTGTTAAAAAATAATTCAACAAAATTGTTTATATCAATTTCTTATGTAAATTTAAAAAGTTGTTCGGACTTGAAATATGAAGATATAAAAAAGAAGAGCATTGTGAGGAATTGGATCTGGAGAGTGCTACTGAGTGACGTACAAGAAGGGCCAATGGTAGGCATCCACGCTCCATGGCTTCAGGGCCCTTCTGGCTAGCATGTCCTCCTGGTTCCTGCTTCTTTTAAATGCAGGGGACCACTCGAGCGAGGATATTGACGATGCCCTTTTGGTTGATGTTGATTTCTGAGTCAGCAAAATTACATATCAGGTAACCTGCTGAATAGTTATTGGATTCGGAAGAGACCAACGTCACCGGACGCACCACCATTCATTCTTACACTGATACGACAGCACATGCTTATACTATAGATAAATACGGGATCTAAATGCAACAGTTGCCAAAAAACATTAAACCAAACCCCTTTCATCTATGGTCAAGTTCTCGCAATGCGTTTTGTCGTGTCCGTAAAATTTGAATCTGCTATGTAGTATAAAGGCTGATAACCATGCTCTCCCTGTCCCTG